CAGTGAACCCTATCCCAAAACCAGACATTAAGAAATGAGAATTCTAAACTTTTTCATTCGCTGAGAAAGAGACTGGTGCCTCTAAACCCACACATGTTTCAAACAAGAAGAAGAGTGTTGTCTCTAAAGCCTCAGAGAAAGTCCAAGCTGGTGGCAGGAAAGCTCTCTCTGACATTTCAAACTCGGGTAAGCCACAGCTGCAGGAGACATCAAAGAAGAATCAAACTTCAGAGTTAACCATTTTGGCGGAGGATCCAAGTGAACCCAAAGATAATGCAGAGGAAGGATTTCTGCACAATCATGAAGAATGTACCAAAGTGCAGAAAAGAGCTATAAGCACGAATGAATTTTTTTGGATACTTGGATTAGGTGGTAAATAAAGTTGTTACGTATTCAGATGTCTATTATGATTTAGTTTTTGGCTGGATACTTACATTTTCATGAATGTTTTTGGTTAGATTTCTCCGAACAGCCTGCATCTGCGAAAGAACCTCATATGTCAAACAAAATGGTCAGTTTTCTTTTTATTTTTTGTTCTCCCATTTAGCAATTGTTTATAACTATATGGATTGTTTTTTAGTTAAAAATTCATAATATGTTACCCATGAATTATAAATCTTTTAATTAATATAATACTTATTAAAATTGATTTAACTTTAAATAATTATACATAATTAAGAAATAATATTTTAAGTATCATATTAATAGATTAATTATTTAGGTACCACATTAAATATTTTTAAAATTTAAAAATTACATTAAACATTTTAATATAGCTAAAGGACCGACGAAACATTAACTAATATTAGTTTTAATTCTAACTAAGACTCTGATTATTTTTGCTATAATTGACTTTCAGAAAATATTTTTTGAAAAACGTTTACAATTACTGAAAAAATAAATATTTTATGTTGTTTGGATGAGTTAATAAAAATATTTTCTGTTATTTTTTTTTAGAAAATTTATTTCTTTATTCAAATAATATTAATATAACTATTAAATATTAAAAATTATTTATTATTAAAGTATATTAAAATTATTAATATTAAAAAATAATCATATTTTAATAATAATATTTAATATTAAAATATTATATTAATATAACAATATTTAAAATAAATTTATTTATTATTTTTATATTAATATTTGAAAATATTTAAAATAATATTATTATTCTTAAAATATTATTTTTATTAATATTAAAATAATAATATTTATTATTAAATATTCATACTATTAAAATATTTATATTTTATATTGAAATTATCAATTTATTAAATCATAAGAAAAATCTTTTTTATTTATATTTATTATTAAAATAATATTATAAATAGCTTAATAAATAAAAATATGAAATTATATATCTTAAACTAAAAAATAATAAGAAATTATTAAGAAAATAATATTATTATATTATTTACATTAATTATTAAAATATTAAAAATATTATTATTTATTATTAAAATAATAATATAATACTATTTATTATTGAAATGCTAAAAATATTTATGTTTAATAAAATAAAAAATAAAAATATTTAAAATTGAAATGTTAAAAGACTTTTAATGTTAAAATTTTAATTTTTTAATTAAAATTAAATAAAATATTTTTATTAATATAATAACATTTTATGTTGAATTAAATCAATTTCAAGTTTAAAATTTTAATTTTTTAGTAAAATTAAATAAAAATATTATTTATTAATAATAATATTTTGGATAAGATCAAATTAAGTTTGAGCATAAAAAAATTATATATAAGGTTTAACTTGAGTAAAATTATACTCAAATATATTCATAGTAGTAGTTCTACTCATAAAGAATTTTTTTTTAAATTATTTTTATCTTTTCAAAAGGGTAAAACAATTTCTAAACAAATTATTTTATTTTCTATTGATCAATAAATTATTTTTTGTTAACCAGTCAATTTTTTGTTAACCAAACATATAAAAATACAGATTTTCTTTTTTCGAAAATCATTTTTTAGGAAACAAATAATGGAGCCCAATACTAGTTTACTTGTGTTTAGGATATGGATACTATGCATCCACTAGCTTCAGCATATGGATTGTCTTAATGAATACTGGTTTACTTCTGCTACAGCCCATGAGTCCTTCAAGGTACTTTGAAGCTGGGGAGATGAATGAAGATCTGCCTCCAAAGCACAAGTCATCAAGGAAACTTAACTCCGCCCCACCTAGTCCAGAGCCACTGGAGAATATGCACTGGAATGATCCTAAACACATTCCCAGTTTTAAGTTGATAGAATCGCCATAATGGTGAAAGCATTATGGCTTCTATTGGACTGCAATTATTTTGCTAGTAGGTAAAGATGTGGCAACTTATGTTGCATTCAGATTTGAGATGAAACGAAAACTTCACTTTTTTTTTTGGCTTCTTCGGCTGTTAATTGTGTAAAGCCGGCTGAATTGTGTTTTATCCCTTTTACTAATATTACGCCTGTAATCTTTCCAGCATACATGTTAACGGTGAAGTTTGATAGATCCAACCTTAAAATTATATAACAAATTTTTCAAAATAAAGGAAGGATTTCAACATTATCCTGGGTTTAAGTCTATTGATTTATGCTATCATTTTTTAAAAATAAAAAATTTAAATTTAAATTCAAATATCTATACTACTATAGATAAAAAGAATCTTGAAGAATCTTCGAACTTACACATGTTCAGTTTAGGTCTTTCCTTCCCACGGTTTTGTTTTCATTGTTTTTTGATGATAGCGGAACTAACATTAAATGAGATATGAAATGAAAGAAGAAAAGTAGAATGAAATACTGTAATATCAAGGCTTAGGAAGCTCCATTCCTCCATCTTTTTACTCCTTTTTGCTTTCTTTTTCGTTTTTCTGTTACTTTGTTTTTGGGTTTGAAGTTTTTCAATACTTTGATATTTCTTTTTTGTCTAATCTTATAGTTGCTTTTATTTTTTTGGTTGTTGTGGGTTTCCTGGTCAAAGAAACAAAGCCGGTGCCACAATTAAGGGTGGTGTTGTTCGTGCTTAAGGGAAAATAGGTCCTGTTTGTACCTAAATTTTTTTATGTAGTTTTTGTCTATGTTTGTTGTTCTTGCTAAGTCTATTTAAACATTGCTCATAAACATTACTTTTTTTTTTAATTTTTTAATTCCTTTTGATTTTCCAACCAGTTCATCCAAGAGTGCAAAGGCAGATGAACCTACAGGGGATGTGCTGCTCATATCTGATGCTGGAAAACATACTACAATTGCTGGGAAGTCATTTTTCACACAAGCAGAGCGCCTTTTAATATTTAAAATAGGTGCAAAGAAAAGCAGAAAGAAGTATAAACAAGCCTGCAACCACCATACAAGTTGGAATTACTTCTACTTTTCTTTGGCTTCCATTTTTGTTCCTATTCTTCTCGTGCTTTGATACTGTATATATTACATGTTTGTTTTTTATTTCCCAATTTTTGTTTATAATTGTTCATATCTCCAGTTGTGGGCTACAATTTGACATTGGTTATTGCTTTCTTTTTCTTCTTAAAAAAATTTGCGCTTTCCAATCGTTTTGCCAAGCGGTTCAACGAAGCTTGCAAAAGCAAAGGAATTAGTAAAGGCTGCATTGGTCATGTTTGATGCTAAAAGCATTGTTGCAATCATTGAAGAATGTCCTTTGCCACAAGAAAGTGAACATCAGAGTACCCAAACAGCAACAGAAAGTCCTCTCCAAGAAACCACTAAATGATTTTCTGAACTTATTTGTGACTGAGGTACATGTTCACGTTTACTTAGCGTTGTTTTTTATATTGGGTTTTTTATAAGGGCAAATGCAATCTATCCCTTTGATTTTTGGCTCTTGAATGACACCACTCGGCTTATCATTGGTAATCTCGAGCTTCTTTCAATTCATTATTTAGATAAAAATTTGGAAGATGTTAGTACAGCATGAAAGAAAAAATTTCACCTGTTGTTTCAGCACATACAAAAAGCATTCTTTTTACTGAAAAGTTATAGAAGACATTAAACATGATGAATTATTGATGTTTGTTGTTACCATCATGTTTGTATTTTGTTGCTTTTCTTTTCTTTTGGGTTCTTTGTAAAGTAGTTGGAAACATGTGCAAAGAGTTCTTCCTCTTTTTTAATGTATTACAGGTGGACACTTTGCTGCAAAGTAAAACAAAAAAGAAAATACAAACTTTCACCAAGTGTTTTGTTCTAACTTATATTATGTTAGCTATTTTAGTATATTTTGTAGGCAATATGTTTTTATAGGTGTTAGCTTGAAAATTTTTGTAAGTTTCCTATAATTTTTTAAAAAGTTTTGTCTCATTTTTTTGTTGTGTTTAGATTGCATTGAACTTAAATAATTTATTAGCAACTGCTATGTGTAGTTATGAGAATTTAGAACTACAACTGTTAATTCAATTATCTCTTAACTTATAAATTACTTTTAAATTAAAATTTTTTATGTAACTTATAATCATAATTATCATAACCAAATCAGACATTAAACCTTTTAAGGTTTTAGATAATTGGATTAATAATTCAACTACTGAGTCAAATCAAACATTAAATCTTTTAAGGTTTTAGATAATTGGGTTAATGATTCAACCATTGAATCAAACGAGTCAATTGTCAGTTCAATAAAAAAATTATAAAAAATATAAATATTTTAAAATTTTAAAATTCAAACTTTTAACTGAAATTATAATTTAATAATTCAACCATAAAACTATAAATTTTAAGACATATCATAAACTACAAATTTTAAAATATAAAATTCATAGAACAATAAAACTAACACGACACCACACTGTCAAAAAGTGGACAATCATTTGCTAAAAGTAAGACAACACATAGTGTATTGTTTTTCTCGGTTAATTCTCAATCTTTCTGCTAACAAGAATCTATCTTCTTCAACATTATATCTAAAAAATAGTATTTTTATCATTAATTAAAAAAACTTATGCTACTTATGAAAACTTATCAAAATCAATCACTCTTAAAAATAATATTCAAAATCTAATGCTTAAATTTTAACGCTTACCAATAAAATCTAAATAGCTCGATTTAACCGAAAATAATAATATTCAAGTCGAGTAATAAATAATACAGGCAAAATAAAAAAAACAAGACGTTGAAATCGAACTGACAAAGCTGAACCGGTTGAACCACGTTATGAAAAAAAGGTCGATCCAATCCGGTTTAACTTTTTCGGCAGCACTGGACAAGAAATCAAAATCAATCAAACAAATCAAAGGGAAAAAAATCTAAAAACTAAAAGCGCATTCGCGGGGAGAGTGAGATCATCTTCTTTCTATCCAGAAATTTATATAGTTCTCATTTCTCATAGCGAAAACCCCCCAAAAACCTTTCGATTTTTCTTCCCAATTAATCCTAAAATGTCCGTAAAATCCCACATAATTACAGGATTGACCCTCCCCTTGAAACCCACTGCTTCTTCTTCTTCAAGCTCCAGTAGTAGTGGCAGTCTCTGTTTAGTTAAGAGACCGCTCACCTCTTCCTTCCTCAATGGCGGAGGTACCCTTTCTTTGGCTTTTTCTCAGGTTAAATTTTAATGGGTATTTTTATTTTTCTTATAATACCGTAAATGAAGAGTTTTTTTTTTTTCTTTCTTTTCCTTGCTTTTGAGTTGGTTGTGTTTGTTCTTTTTTATGTTACCATTAGTAGATAAATATTAGCAATTTGGAACTAGATTTTATTTATTTTTACGGGATATATCAAATTTGTGATTTTTTTTTCTATAAAAAACTTTGCTTTTCATTGTAAATCTAGAGCCATTGTGTTTTTAATAGCTTGAGTAGTGAGAAAGAGGGTTGCTTTCGCAAGGTGATTGACTAGGCTGCTAACTTAACTCAAATGAAACACATATAATTTTCTTCAAGCTCAGCTGTTTGTATGGATGATGACATTTGTTTGTCCATTAAGCTACTGGTTTATTTGGGTTATTTGCTAATAGTTTTGTTAAAGCACTAAAACTTAGTTAAGTGGTGAATCAAATGGGTTCATAATGACATTAAAGTATTAAAGCATATGTGGTCTTTTTCTCATTTTTGGATAACAGCATTTATATGATTCACATGTCAAAAAAGTTAAACCAATTCAATCATATATAAAAGCTTGATGGTGAATTGGTTCAATTCGCTTGCAATTATGTAAGCTTTTGAATAAGGTTCTTTTTTTTTTTTTTTTTTTTTTTGTGTTCGTGATGAAATTTTGAATTGCTTGTCATGTGAGCCACCATCTTTTCAACCCATTTGCTTTGGTTTCCATTTTCCCTATTTTAACTTTCATCCCATTTTTCTATTTTTTGACTATATTATTTGCATTCTAGTTGATGATTAGGGAGTAATCTTAAAGATTGAAACTCCCATGAAAAAGGACTTTTTCTCATTTTATTACATGGCAATATCAAATCCATAGGACCTCTAACATCATCTAAAGGAGCTAAACACCAGTATCTAAAGTAGGTACAAGTTATCCTTTTAACAAAATTTTCTTTTTTCTTTCTTTTCTTAAACAGTGGCTGCCCTAAAAATTACAAGCATAAGTATCCTTCCAGGAAGATCTCATTGTCACAGGCAAGGTGGAGGTGCCCTTGGTACACGCATGAGCCTTTTTGATCGGTTTGCTAGAGTTGTTAAGGTCAAACTTTAGAAATTGTTTATGGACATTCATGTAATGATACTATGTTTTCTGATTCCAGCTTTTGATGTGTTATCTCAATAACTTAACTCAATTCACTGATAATGGCAGTCATATGCAAATGTGCTCTTAAGTTCCTTTGAAGACCCAGAGAAAATCTTAGATGAAGCTGTGCTCGAAATGAATGATGACTTGGTGAAGATGAGACATGCCACAGCACAAGTAAGCCTCATAATGTATTATTTCTTGAGTTTCATTCTTTTGGGTCCTTTCTTTCTGTTATCTTAATTTCCTTTTGCTTGCCATTCTTTTCACTGTTTTTGCTATTCTTTTATTCTCTTTTATTCATAATTGCATTGCATATGTACTCAACTATAGTGCCTAGGTGGTCTTACAAGTTTATATTCTTATGCAATTTTTTATTCTGCCTTTTCAGTGAAATTTTCTTCCCACTTATGCACATGCGAACCTTTTTCTTGTTTGAAGGTATTAGCATCTCAAAAGCGGTTGGAAAATAAGTACAAAGCTGCACAGCAGGCTTCTGAAGATTGGTAACTGATTAAATGGTTTTTTGTTTTCCATAGTCTGCAGAGTATGCTGGTGTTTAAATGTCCCCATTAAGTTTTGATTTCATATAGGTACCGTAAAGCACAGTTGGCTCTTCAGAGAGGAGAAGAGGATCTTGCACGTGAAGCCCTCAAGAGGCGTAAATCTTCTGCTGTAAGATGCCATATAAAACCCATTTAACATAAACTGAAAACCATATAAATTTATATGCCAAATGAGATTCATGGCATTCCAAGATAGATTTGTTCCAACAACACAATGTTACGAAAACACCAGTGGGCATAATAACCTGATTGAATGGCTTAGACTGTGTAACTGATTCAGAGAATTTTCTAGGGACTGAAAGCAGTTCTTTTCTTCTGGTTTTAGAACCTGTTATTTTAATTCATAGTTCCTAAAATGGATAGCTTTTGTTCTGATTGAATAATTGATGAACCATCATTTTTTCTTTTTGTTGCAGGATAATGCTAGTTCATTGAAAGCTCAACTTGATCAACAGAAAAGTGTAATTGAGAATCTTGTCTCTAACACACGGGTACATTTCTGCTTATCTTTACTGCTATTAATTCCATTGATATGTTATTCAGTTAGATAATTGGTCTTTTTATAGAGAATATGTCATGTATTGCCTTAGGTCTGACATGCATTGTTGTTAAGCGTTTTTCATAAATTCAGATAAAAGATTTTTATGTTTTGGTGTATGAGACATGAAAATCTAAAGGTTAAAGATCTGTCTAAAATAAAGAGGCTATGAGCAATAGAGAGGAAAGAATGTTGTAATATTATTTTATTGGTCTTGGTGTTATAGATTATAGGTTAAATAAGAACCAGGAATAAGCTAGGAGAGGGAAATGAACTATTATTTTGTGACATATGATCCATTAGTTGAAGATACTAAATCTATTTTATGTAGCTTTTGGAGAGCCATAAGAAAGGCACTTAATAACTAAATAATAGATGTAATAGGAAAGCTATCTACAATTCTTTTATCTTGTTATTATGTACACATTGATGGATTTGTTACGGTTGCATTCCCTAAATTCCATTTTGTGTAGCTTCTGGAGAGCAAGATACAAGAGGCAAAGTCAAAGAAAGACACTTTGAAAGCTCGTGCTCAGTCTGCAAGGTAGTCTCTGCTATTGCCATTGCTACTTTCCTTTTCTCTGTGTCTTATCTCATTGGACTTTCTGGTCATGATCACTTTGATGCTGCTTCAGAACTGCAACAAAAGTAAATGAGATGGTGGGAAATGTCAACACCAGCAGTGCTTTAGCAGCTTTTGAGAAGATGGAAGAGAAAGGTGAGTTAGTCTTAGGTTGTAAGCCTCTTGTTGTAAGTGAGTATCCCATTTATTCATGCCTGCAGGGTTAGAAAGATTATGATTTTGACATGATGGAAAGTGCTCACGATAAAGCTTTTTAGCCTTGCGATAACCATCTAACGTGTAATTTGTGCTAAATTTCTCTAATGGAATCTATCTTAAACATTAAAATATTATCCAATCAAATTATTGGGTGATTTTCATCTAGTACAACAACAACAACAAACTAAGCCTTATATCCCATAACTTTGGGGTCAATTGTATGAAAGGCCAAAAAAGGCAATCATGTTAGGTTGTAGTTTTGAATCTTCTTGCGCCACTCATTTCTATCAAAAACAACATTTTCATCTACTTCCTTAACCCTCATATCATTTCTTATTATCTCTCTCAAATCCGGAAGCTCATTTATCCTAACTGGTGTGTTCATCTAGCACACTGACGCAATATCTTCAGTTCAAGCTTAGGAAGTTGAGATGTGAAGAAGCTTCCTCAGTTAAAAAAATATCTATGTTGCTGAGGGATGTCTAAAGTTAGGATATGTGTGTCCTTACCCACACTTTTTAGTTATGAAATGCTGCTGTTTAATTAACTATTATTTTCAGAACAGGGTTAGAAAGATTAAGATTTTGACATGATAGAAAGTGTACAATGTAAAGCTTTTTTAGCCCTGCAATTACCATATAACGTGTAATTTGTGCTATATTTATCTAATGGAACCTATCTTAAACATAAAGATATTCCAATCAAATTATTGGCTGATTTCTTCTAGTACTCTCTGACACAATATATCCAGTTCAAGCTTAGGAAGTTGAGGTGTGAAGAAGATTTTCCTGAGTTAAAAAATATCCATGTTGCTGAGGGATTTGAGGAGTTCTAATGTTAGAACGTGTCCTTTTTGGCCTATCCACTCTTCTTAGTTATGAAATGCTGTTTAGTTAACTATCATTTTCTGACTAAATATTTCATAAGAAGTGGTTTTATTAATAATCTTATTACACCCAAAATCATCCTTGTCATGCACCAAATGATTGGTGATCCTTCCCTGCTAAATACAATCTTGATCACTGAAGATTGACTATCTCTTGCATTTCTTGTGGAGTTGTGGTTGATGATCAATCTATAAGAACTAGAATAGTAGATTTGATCTTAACTCTTGTCTCTTATGTTTCTTTTCCTTGCCTTCTTTTTTTGATAGTTATGGCAATGGAGTCTGAAGCAGAAGCTCTTGGGCAGTTAACCACTGATGATCTTGAAGGGAAGGTAGTGACTGCTTTATCTTTATTTTGTATTTTTTAACTCTGATTTAAACTTTCTATGGCCAAATTTTCATTTTGATATTTGATATTTGATAATTTGCATCATTGTGGTTGGTGGCCGTCATAGGCCTGGTATTTAACAGTGTTAATGGCTTGTTGATAGGGTAACTAAATATGTCAATTTAGCTGTAGGTTTATGATCTGACTCAATCTTTTTGAAATTGGGACTTCTTGAAATATTTCCTTGAGGTTCTCCAAGGATAGGAAACATGGAAAGGTTTTCCTATAAGTTCGCTGAAAATAGATGGGAAGCCAATTTAATATGGTAGCCATTGTTTTCTATAGTTGTGGCATGAAACAGGCCACGTTATTAGGGATAACTAAGGGTTTTGTGAATTTAAGATAAAAATTATTAGAATTATAGTTAGTTATTCATCAGAAAAGTTAGCTTGCCATATTATGGATTATCTTACGTCTTGAAAATTCATATTAAGAATACAAGACTACTTAGTACTGCAGTTCAAATTTATAGACCCTTTTGTCATGATAATATAATGTTTTTGCTATGTACTTGATTGTTTCTTTCTATAAAATCTACTCTGATTTTTTAAGAAACCCATTGCTTGAATTTGCAGTTTGCATTACTTGAGAGCACATCGGTTGATGATGATCTTGCAAACTTGAAAAAGGAACTCTCTGGCAGCACACTGGTATGTCTCATTCTTGTTTTATGAAAAATGGAAATCTGTATGATGGGATTAGGTTTCTCTCATATGCAACTTTCCCTAGACTAGGCTTTGAAAATTATAGTATGTTACCATTATGTTCAGCTCTGTCTGCTCGTTGGGTGAAGAATCAGATTCAGAATTGACTGACCAAAAAATAAGAAGAAAAGGAAAAGGAATCATAATTGACTGAACATTCAGAATTGCTCTGCGCATCGTGTTTTTCCTTTCCCTGGTCTGTTTTGGCAACTAGAAAGTGATAGTAGCTTGAGGAGAAGGAAAAGAAATTTCCCTTTGGTTAAAACCTCAAAAGTTGTTCTCCAGCTGTGAGCCAAGGAGGAACAGTCTTGAATTTCAACCTTCTGAAAGGTTTTAATTTTTCATTTTCCTATTCTTCTGACTAACAGAAAGGAGAGCTTCCACCTGGAAGAACTGTTTCTGCCAGTACAAACAAGACATTTCCATATCGAGATGCTGAGATTGAGACAGAACTTAATGAATTGAGGCAAAGGGCAAAGGACTTCTAAAGTTTCTGTTCCGGATACCCAAATCGTGGAATTTTTATTTCAAGATCGAACCCTCTTCCAATGGTTTAACTTGGTAAGCTAGCGTTCAAACAGATCATTGTATAGCTGCAGTCCAAACTCAATTAAGTATAGCAATTTTTGGATGGTTATGTACATACTTTGTTTATTACATTAGATGAGCATAGTAATAATGTACTTATAACATACAACGCACACTTGGCAATGACCCATGTTTTGGACCATGTATTCAATAGCTTGTTAGTGTGCAATTAGTCTTCCTGGCAACTTCCTTGCCATTTTATTATGTTGTTCGGTCTGGGATACCATGTCGGTGACAAAAATTCAAATTGCCACCACAGTTTCATTTACGGGTATCTAACCAATAGCTGTCGTGGGTGAACATAACAATTTTAAACATAATACGGTAACAACACGAAAATAATATTAAAGAAGACATAAAAGTGATATTATTAAAAATTTTAAAAAATATATATATAAATTTGATAAAAATAAAAAAAATATATTTTATATTTTGACGAGTTGGCGTAAATTTAATTATAATAATTTTTTGTATTTTTATACATGTTTGACACCACATAAATTGTCAAATTTAGTACTGGGTGTCTTTTCTGTCACTCACAGAATACAAGGACTGAGTCTCGGTTCCCTGGCTTTTATTGGCTGCTTCTTCTTTGGCTCTCCTGAGAGATTTGCAATATTCCAAGTTGATTTGTTAAATACAAAAGTGCCCATTATGAAACGCTGTCAACAGCTGAAATTGTTTATTTAATGTATAGAAATCAAAGAGCCGATTTAAACACAGGTTGATAGTAAGGAATGTGGCACGAAAATTCCTTCTCTAGATTGACACGGCACTGTTCTATTGAGGGTGGTCTTGACACTGTAGAAATTGCTTACAAAGACCAAAACAGAAGAAAACGTGTCAAAACTTTTAGCAGGAAGAGACTAAAATTCAAATGATATTGCGGTCATAGGACGAAAAATCAAGTTCCATCACAGTAGCTTCGTTCTTGACAAGAGATTTATTCTTTTCTTGCACACCATTTCGTTCAAATTAAGCAAGTAATTACCAATCCTACTTGGTCAAATTATAAAAAATTCAAAACTTCGGACTTTATTTATTAACTCTAATAATTCACTATTATTCTGATTTAGTATCTAAAAATGAAAAAAACAAACTATTTGCCCATAACCCGAGTCATGGAAAGGGCACTGCATGCAGTACATTCAAATGTTCAGATTACTCGTGCCATTGACACGTTCAAAATCCTAAGTTTTTCCTTTCCCAGCAAAAAACCAAGCTCCCCACCCCCCAGTTTCACTTAGGTTTTCCTTTCTCTGCGGGAATGACTGGTTCAAAACTCCTTGGTCAACACGTAATCCCTTATAAGCCTTAGCTATAAGCCCTAACTAATATATTCAAACTACCTCCCCTATATATACCCCATTTCGCTTCCATATTTCATAATATACTTAATACACAAACAACAACGTTCGTACATAAAACTTCCAAAAGAGTTACGTAGTTTCAGCCATCAGGCCTCAGGCGACGTAAATACAATCTTTTTTGAAGATGAATTGCAGAAAATTAGGCACCCTTTTGATCATTTTTGTCATTTCAGTGGCCATTTTGTGCCAAGTTGGAGTGGAGGCTACAAGAGTATTACCCGAGGATTTTGCAAAGGCTAATCACCTGGAGACATACTCGTCGGTCTACGAGAAGGCCAAGTTCACAATGTCTTGCTGGCTCGAGCGGTTGGCTTCTGGACCTAGCCCTAAAGGACCGGGTCACTAGAAGAAAGTATACTCAGTGTTATCATTTAGGCTTAAATATATATACATATATATATATATATAAAGAACCTTAGATAAAAGTTAAATAATCATCCAATGCTTTATTATTTTATTGCAACCAATTGAGATTTCAAACATTTATTTTTCTCCATTTAAATCTTCAAATATTTATTTTTATCCAATCAAACCAACAATTGGATGAAAATAAGTGTTGACAATTAATCAATTTTCATTTATTAAGGGTTCAATTGATGAAAATAAATATTTAAGTGCGTAATTGATTGCAATAAAATGATAAAGGTTTGAATTATTATTTAACTTTAATAAGAGGTTTTTTTTTATTCTTAATTATGCCTATCATATATTTATTATGGTTTTTTTTTTCTTCTTTTATAGGTAGGTTTAAGATAAACAATGCAGCTTCTGCCGACTGCCATATAGAAGTAGATGTATAAATGTAAATTGATTAATAAAAATTCTTTGATTTCATAAGTTGGATGACCAAGTAATTATTCTTGATATTTCAATTTTTAATTTGGATAATTAAATTAATCGTAAACCTCTCTAATCTTTTACCAAGTGAAATACAACTAAAATTTAGAATCTTTATTAAACTACTCAACTAAGCTTTGATAATTAAATTTAGAATCTATCCACTATTTTTCTTGAATCTTTGATACTTTAATTAATTAGTGCCATATTATAATTTCAAGTTCAGTTTCGATATAATTCCTATTTTTTCTTATTGATGGTTTTGATTAATTCCCTTCACAAAAAGAAATAGTTCTCTTCCATTTCAGAATTCTTATTTCGTGAACAATTACATAATTCGTTACTAGAATGTTAGAATTTTAATTTTAATAATGATGATTTAAATTTTAATAACTTCAAATATAAAATAATAAAAAATAAAAATGTGATATATATATATATATGTATATATTGCATGGGAGTGCATCTATTTATGAAGCTGAAGCCAAAGTTAAAACCAACCAAGGACATGAGTGTCCACACCCCATATCCATGCAACAATATTTCGTTATTGTTATAGAATAAATTTTTATATTAATTACTTTTGCCTCAAGTCAATATTTTGAAATAGAATTTTTTGTGGGGTTAGGTGGATTGTATCAACAAACAAATTAGGAATATTAGGAAGAGTTTTGTTTATTTATTTTTTAACGCGCCCAAAGGTTAGGAAAATTTTATACTATTACATATAATGTCAATAATTATGTTCATATAAAAAATTAAAAATTTAATTCAATTGATTAATACGATTACCTTTAAAATTAATATTTGATAAATATAAAATTTAAATTATAAGATTTTTATCTTTTTGACATATTTACGTTTTACACCCTCCTATATAATAATAATAAAAAAAAAATTATGTTCATGTAATGTTGTCATAAGTTAAGACTTAACAGGTATTATAATTAAGTTAAAACTATATAAAAAATAAATCAAAATATCAAATAATAGAGAACACCAAATATCTAATAATAATAATAATAATGATACTATACATCAATAAGTAGTTAGTTCAATTAGTTTGGATTTATTTTTTTTATAAAGAGTTTTTTTATTTGAATCATGTTGATAATTATTTGTTAAAATCATATCGAATACACAACTTACAACTACTTATCTTATACTATTAAATACAATATATTTTATTTTAACTTAAAAAATTAAATAACTTATTTACCTCAAATTAAAAAAAAAATGATGATACAATACATGGGTGGAGTGCAATTATTGTTTATAAATTTGACCCTTTTAGATTTATAGAGTAGGGTTTAAAGTCAAAAGCTATAAACTTGAATCAATCCTAATCTAAGTTGGCCTTAGATATCTGACACATAAATTAACACTTATAATTAGTTCATAACTACAAGTAATCTCATTTTCTACTCCCAAAACATAATTTATGCACCATAGATTTGGGATTTATACATAACTTGCAATATCACAAAGAGATGAAGATATCAATTGTCAAATTCAATATTAAAAAATACTCTAATATTCAACACTTGCACATATATTCTATGGCAGTTTTTACTTTCCTCAAGCCAAACCAACCAAGGAACCAACTTTAGTCAAATCCAATATTTCTAATTCTCGGACTTCATCAAACTCTATCTTCTTAAAATGACAAAAACACCCTTCACTTCTTATTGAACCTAAGTGATGAAAGAGAGGGTTAGACCGGTAAATTTAGTATACAACGGGCTGTAGTAGGCATTGACACGTTCAAAGTCATGACCCAATGTTTCACCTTTCCCAGCAGCAACCACTTAGCCCCATGACCATTTTTTTTTCCCTGTTGACTTAGCTCAAAATCCTTGTTCAACACGATAAGTCCGAAAAAGCCCACCAATACCATTTTCCTCGACTTTTTTAACATATTTCAACTGTTCTATATCAGACTCTTCAAAAGTTTTTTTCTATATATACCCAGATATTCAATTTCAAATTCACATCCATCAACAAGCCCGGAGCTCCTTCCTACCATTACTTTTCAAAGATTCTGCATTTTGCCCACCTTTTGATTACTCTTTGTGAAGATGAATAGCAGAAAATTCAGTACTCTTTTGGTAATTTTTGTCATCTCAGTGACAGTGCTGAGCCATGTCAGCGTTGAAGCTACCAGGGTGTTGCCGGAGGATTTTGCGAAGGCAAATCACCTAGATACGTACTCCTCGGTCTACCAGAAGGCAAAGTTCATGATGTCATACTGGCTCGAGCGCTTGGATTCGGGACCTAGTCCACAAGGACCTGGCCACTAGATTTTGGCCCTGCTAATTCACGACATGGCTCATGCCCATGCCCCACCCCCATGGAAGTTCAACGAAGTATACTGTACACCAACATCGTTATTGTTTTTTTTTTTTTTTTTAATATTTTGATTAAGATATTCTGCAATTTCTACTAGTTAGGTAGAATTGTATGACAAAATGTAATTGAAAAAAATAGGATTCTTTGATTTGATTTGCTTTTTTTTTTTGGCACAAGATTCTTTCATTTTGTTAGTTGAATAATGTTTTTCAGTTAATTGTAAAACCTTATTAATCACCTTCAATTTTGAAGATAATTAATTACAAAATTCACATTCCATGCCAAATTTATGTGTTGCAAGACCAGAATGGAGACGATTGTTTTTTTTTTTTTTTTGCAACATGCACGAAATTAGTTGAAATAATAATAGATGAAAATAGGAAATAAGGTGAAATAATCAAACATTAATTTTCTAAATTTCTGTAGTGCTTTTTGGTTTAAATTTCTGTTTCAATAAATCTTTACATCCCATTGTTTACTTTTTTAACTATAACATTAAAAAATCAAAAAGAGGAAGAAAGATAAGAACCCCACAGGTGTTTGAGCTTTCCTGGAAGCACCCAGCCCCACGTGAACTAGTTTTTCTGCCTGCATGACCAGTACACACACCTTGTGCAGCACGTAACTCCTAAGTGTCCACCATAAACCCTAACTTTTATTCAACTTAGCTATATCAAATATCAATCAATTGAGCTTTGGCGATCTGTGGCACCTGAAGAGTTGAAGATTCAAACAATTATTAAATATATAGGGTGTATATATGTAGAAGATTTTTTTAGAAAACTGATATTAATATGTATTAGTAATTAGAATGATGATTAGAGTTAAGAGTCTTTGGCCTAAGCTAATAGTTTCAAACAAATCATCCTTCCAAAGATGGTGATTCCTATGTCTAGAATGGAAACATCATTTCTCTTCTTTTCCATTTCAGTTTGTTCTACAACTGCAAATTCTACAATGGAAAACTTTCTTCTCTACTTTGCCACTTATTCACCATCTTCCTATATAAGTTCTAATGTTATCTTTAGTTATCAAAGCAAATTAGTTCCTCATAGTTCATATTCATCTATATTGCAATTTTTTTAGAATATGATCTTAATATATTTTAAATTTGTGCCAATATATATTATTATAAGAACTAATTAAACTCTTTTTGTTTGTATATAAGTTATTACTATTATGTACTTTTTAATTTATTAATTTTGATATATTTTATTTTAGCTAGCATTTTAGTGAAAGGCAATATTAATATATATATATATTTATATACCAATGAGTTGTAATATTATTATTATTATTATTATTATTATTATTATTATTATTATTATTATTATTATTTGTAGTTATAAGAATGAGTGAATCTCTATTGCCAATATTTGTGTGCATATATATATTGTTTCATAAATATATATATATATATATTTTAGGGAAAGGAACATTATTTTTTTGGAAATATCTAAAACTTTGTAAGATGGACATCCAACTTCACTTGAAGACGGTATTCTTCAACGAATATGTTTCTTCCACTTAGTGTACTATATATACTTGGATTCTTATTCTTTAGCCTGAAAAATCAGACAGCAAATAAGAAGTGAAATCCAAAGGCAAAAAAAGTGATCTCCTTCAGTTCACCAATAATCATCTTTCTTAATTTCTTAGTTTGGGAAAAAAACGTCAATGGAGATTAAATATCTTGATTGCATATTGGTTCCAATAGGGATCCTAACAATGGTAGCATACCATATTTGGCTTGTCCGTCGAATCATTAAACGCCCCAACAGCACTATAGTTGGTGTCAATGCCATTAGTCGCCGTTTCTGGGTTCATTCCATGATGGAGGTTCTTCTCAATCCTTTTGTTTTTAAGTTGGATGTTCATCTTAAAATTTAAGTTCAGTGATTTTATTTTTCCATGGCAGGATGTGGGGAAGAATGGAGTTCTTGCGGTGCAAACATTAAGAAACAACATCATGGCTTCGACGGTATTGGCATCGACAGCAATCATGTTGAGCTCTCTCATTGCACTCTTGATGACGAGTGGTGGTGGTGAGAAATCCGCCTGGTTTGACTTCGGAGACAGAAGCAAACAAGCTTTTTCAATCAAGTATTTTTCAATATTGGTTTGCTTCATGGTGGTGTTCTTGCTCAATGTGCAGTCAATTAGGTACTACAGCCATGCCAGCATCCTCATCAACATACCTTTCAAAAAGATGTATTCCAATCAGCGCCACCGCAATCTCACGGCTGAGTATGTGGCCATGACTGTCAATAGAGGCAGCTATTTCTGGTCTTTAGGACTTCGTGGCTTCTACTTCTCTTTGCCTCTTTTCTTGTGGGTCTTTGGACCAATTCCCATGATTTTAAGCTGCTTTGTCCTTGTTTTTATGCTCTATTTCCTGGATGTTAACGTTGAATTCGGTTCAGCCGTTGGTGTTTCGGATGATAATCATGATGGCAACGATGATGAGGTGGAGCAATGTGGCTCAAATTGATCCATCTAAACTACAAGTTTCCTATTGGTTATGCTTAGCATCAATTCCTAGCTTTAGCTTTAGCAGAATAATTAAAAGCGTGATATATGTAGCAATTTCTCATTCAATCCAAGTTGAATTGAATTTCTCTTCACATAAAAAGGGTTTTACGGCTAGTTTCTTCTTCTTCTTTTTTTGTGCTTTTATTAATAATTAATATTAAAATAAAAACATTTCGTTTTTGTGATCTAGTAACCACAGAAGCTTTTAGAAAAACATTAAGGTTTGGTTTCGAACCAATCCTCTCTCTTCTCCATTTTTCACTTGTAAATTTCATTCTCTACGCTTTGAGATTCAACTTTGAAATCTCCAAAATAATACTAGCATTAATCTAAATTATAAAATTGTTCAAGTAAAAAAATTGATTTATAATTTTTTAAAAATATTTTAAATTTATCCATTTCATTAACCATTTTTAAAATATAATCAAATTTATCATTTTAATATCATACGGATATCCTCACATCCACATAAAAAAAAAAAAAAGTAAGAGCATACGTTTGATTTTTTAATTAAATCTTATATCATATGAAACATTCACAAAAAAAAAATTATAAAATACGTTTGATTTTTAAATTAAATCTTATATCATGTGAATTTTTATGTGACACTAACATGATATATTTCATTGAAGTTTTAATTGTGATTGATAAAATTAAAAATTTTGAAACACTTTTAAAAGATCATGAATCTAAAATGAGTCTAAAATTTGGGTTTTAATAATCATAAATTGAAATAAAATAATACATAAAAATAATGAATGATCTAGTTTAATCAAATTATTCTAACAAATTGACAGCTCCAATAAGAATTAGTATGTAAATTCTCGTGATTCCTCCAAGACAGTGACGTAATTAATTTTAGTCCTCTGCTTGTACTCATTGTAACTTCACTCCCAGCCATAGAAGGAAGGGATATTCGATTTCCATTCATCTCATTCTCTCTCACTCTCTTCAGTTCCTGTTTCCAAATGGAGCCATCAATTACATCATATATCATCTAAATATATTGTACGGTAGCTTTTTTTTTTATTATTTTTGGGCATAAAGTAGGGCATAAGCCCTTGAAATTAAACTAATTTAAGAGAGCCTATTGCCAATTTATCTGCCGACAACAACGTGACTAGTTCTTCTTGGGACATGTTCGAGAATTATTATTCCTCTTGGTTGGTAGGATAATTATTGTATGGTACTAGTTTCATACAGATATATAGATTACACCTTTCAGAACAAGTTCACCAAAAAAACAAAAAATGAAAAGGAAAATGAGTGAAGGAAAGAGTGACACATCCATGGGGGGAATCTTAACTGCATGCCATGACTTTCTTTTGCTTTGATACCACAGTATTTTCACTTTATTGTAAGAACCCCTTTGCTTGTATAGAACAATACAAAAACATATGCCGTGTTGTCCAATTTTTTGTACTTTTTTATTTTCATTTTTTTTCCTTTTTTCATTTTCTTTTTCTCATATAACACGGGGCATATATACGAATTTGGTTTGTTCCAGAACTGAAATTCAATTTAATAGTGTTCTTTTATTACTTTCCTTTAGTTTTTTCTCTCCCCCCCCCCCCCCTTTTTTTTAATGGATAGGAGTTTGGGAAGACACTACATATAAGACCAACAGGCTCTCAGAAACCCAAAAAAAAAAAAAAAATACATTAGATGTATAGATATTTATGGTACAGACAATTGTCAATTGTGTATCAAAATTCTTTACATCAGCCTCTCTCAGCTTATTAAAAACTTGGAGAAAACCTGAAAAATCAGCCTAACCTACGTGGAAATGACCTTTTAGACTAGTAAGATTTTCCTGTAAGCAGCTGAAGCATTCTCTACTCACTTTGCAGCGACCAGCTTCAGATTCTTCCCCAGGCAATCTCATAATGCCAAGATAAAGCTCTTCAGGATAATTGCCTGTGATCCCTAATTATCATGGGAATGCTTCTTCCCGGGGTGAAAAATATGTAAAAAGATGAACCTCTTCTGTATGATTGCCTGTGTCTTTGATTTTGAGGGAATGACATTAGTCCTGTATGGCCTATGCTCTCAACTCGGATCTTGTCCAGTACAAGATTTAATCTCTAAAGCTCCAAACCATCATTTACTGGCTATGTCATCTAGGTTATCACTATCTCTTTTACCCACAACAATCCTACATGAATTAGTTTCTTTTGATGCCCCAAAGGACTTGAGCACTCTGAGCTTTTGAATATACACATACAGAGCTCCATTCCCATGTAGAAAAAGAACAGGCAAGAGACACCCCCTTATAAATACAAACCCTGCAAACCCCAAAACCTAGAGAAGTGGCTCTTCTCTAGGTAATTCTCACATTCAAATAATAAATAATTTTAATCTGTCAGATGATTAAGTTTCCCTAGTATCTATACCAGCTTCAGCTTCATCCAGGCTGTCACGATAATCATCTATTAAGTATTCACAAATCTCCAACAGCTGATCAGCAAGAGGAGGAATACCTGGATTGCGACCATCATTGTAGATATGAGCATTGTAAGCAATCTGCCATACATCATGTCTAAAGTCTTCTCGATTTTTGTATTCCATCCTCCTAACCTTGTCCCTTATCGTGGACAAATCCATTGGTCGCTCTACAATGTCCAGGTAGTCAGGAGCCTCCTTCTTGGAGACTGGTTTTAGGAACAGATAGGACACCTCGGTAGTAGCTCTAAGTGCTTCCACAATCTGCTCTAAGATGTTGGATAAACCAACCTGCAGGGAAATCATTTGAAGGATACATAAAGCAGGAAGTTTCATGGATTAATGGTAATTAAAAGTGGCATATGAAATTTTACTAGTGGATTTAAATGCACCAAACCTTGGTAAGAATTATTTACATCTCTCATTCCATAATTTTATTCCTTCATATGGTCCATTTTTCTCATTTCATTTTTATTTTTATTTTTTTTAACCCACTCGAATAAAAAATTTCTCAGGACACATCCCATTTGAATGTTTAGGGTGGAAGAGTGTCAATCTTCCACAAACCACATGCTAGCATGCATATAAGGGCATCTACAGAGCAGCTATGCTTGTTTATCTTGTTACAAACATAACAAAGAGAAAATTCAGTCAAATTTCAGCAATATTTTTCAAATTCACACATAAATTTCCTTTTTTTCTTCTACAATGATTAAGACATGAAGTTAATCAACAAATGTCACTATCTTTAGTATCCATTCAAACACAAAAAAAATAAATCTGCATCATAATTTTAGAATCACACCTTCTAAACTATCTATCAACTATTATGCTTATTATGGTTCAGTCAAATTAAGCTCAGAAATCTATTACTACAATTCATAGATTCTACATTGCAAATCAAATATTTGAATTTACAATTTACTTAAAAGTATACTTGAACACATAAATAAATGGACCATCCTAATCTTTCCGCCAGATTGTCTAAACTATAAATATACCATTGTGAATACAAAGATATTAAGACAACTAAATTCACAATTCAAAGTTTACAGTTCATTATACTTTTAAAATTAACCATTTAAATGATCACCTAGTAAAATTCTTTTGACACCAAGATTTCAAATGAAATTATAAAGGATGCTGTAATATCATATTATCACTTTTAACAGTAGTTAATAACATTTTTAAAAGTTAAAAAATAAACACTACAGAGATTTTAAACTTGAACTGAATTTATCTTTTTGTTGCTTACTATTTATACATTAAAGATCATACTGTAAGGGAGAAATGATTAAAGATAATAATTATAATAATAAATGGCACATTATGTGTTTGGATTTCGGGTCAAGGAGGTAGTCTTGAAATTTTTTAAGACAAACAATAAGTAGCATATGAAGAAAAATATAAAATTAACATGGTTTTTTTTTTGGGGAAAAAAAACTAGTTTTAACAAATTAAAAGAAGAAACTCCATTTCATTTAAAAATGAAAGGGACATCAACAGGGGAAAAAAAAAAGAACTTTTGGGTGTTTTATAATTCACAAAAAAAAAAGGTTAAATTCAATTGAAAAAAAAAAGAAACAGGTGTCAAAATATTGAGTCCACAGGTCTCTTCTTTAAATGTAAGATATGAAGATTTTATGTTATCACTTATCAGTTAGTTCAGCTCTTCAAAACTCTAATACTATAGATGAAATAAAAAAGCTGAGAAATAAAATTTTACAAGTACAATTAATCAAATACCTTTTGAAACTATTACTGCAACAAGGCCACAAAATAAAGAATATGAAATAATCATGGGATTATAATCTTAAGCAACAAATTAACAGCAGCCATAAAGAACAAAGCTTCACTCTGTAATTCATAAATTATAAACCCCCAGAATCATGACCTGAACTTATTTTCCATTTTCAATGATACTAGCAGAGTCGATACACATACCATCACTAGTTGTAAAAGAGAAAAATAAATGCAAAGGCAAACCAGGACAACAGAAAAAAATGAAGAAAAAAATTATTACCTCTCCCCCTCTGCGTCGCTTTGTTGGAGGGACATACTCTGCACCATATTGTCCTAACTCAACTGGTTTCCTTTTTGCGCCTCGATCTCTTTCCAGCATTCTCTTGTCATTTCTTCTTGTCCTATAGTCTTCTAAATAATCATCCTTTATTTCAACCTTTTTCTTCTTCTTTTTCTTCTTGGCTTTCTGGCGTTCCTCTTCCTCCCTCTCTCTCCGAATGTCTTCTGTGTATCTTGTGATCTCAGCAAATCTTTCTCGCTCTTCCAGCAGTCTCATTTCTTCCTCATAAAGCTTCCTTGCCCTGTCTTCTCTTATTCTCTCCATGTTTCTCTTCTTCTCTTCCTCTGCCCACCATCTTCTCTCCTCTTTAGCTTTCCGCCTTGCTGTTGGCTCTGTTAATCGCAAGCTTTCCTGCTTCCCCTGCTTCTCAAAGCTTGACAATTCAACTATTCTTTTGGTTTTCCTGTACTCAGGATAAGTGCCTCCCTCCGGACTAATTTGATCCAGATCAATAATCTCCTTTGGCCGCTTGATTATAATTTTCTTGTGAGGTTGATCTCTATCTTTATCTCCTGGTGGGCGTATGACAACAGAGGGTTTATGAGGTTCAACTTGGTCCCTCTCCACATTTGTTGGTGGCCGTATAACAATAGATTTCTTATGAGATTCAACTTGGCCTCTATCGGTATCCACTTGATTCCGTATAACAATAGGCAGCTTATTAGACTCAACCTGCATTTCGTCAGGCTTTGCCCTGTTGGAAATAATTATTTTACTAACCTTTGCAACAGACTTGATTCCATTTTCAGGATCAGAAGTGACTGGATGGTCAGAACTTTGTGTGCCTCCAGAAGCAAGTTTATCGGATGCCCTATCAGTAGAGCATTTGAACTTCAATGGGAGAGATTTTGCATTTGAACTAGATTTTTCACCCTCAGAAGCTTCTACAACTGCTATCTTTGTCGTACTTTTAGTAATGAGCTTTTTTTTCATTATTTTCAACTGGGACTGACCAGAGGGTTCTAGCGAAGTTGATTTTCCAGGAGGTTTTTCCAAATCAGTAGCTTCAACCTGTATTTCTGGATCTTCTCCATACTTGGGGCAGTTCTTGTTGGTCCTCATGTGTCCAAGCTAGTCCACCAAAAGGTGACAATTGATTATATAGTCCTGAAAAATCAAGAACTAAGCTTCACACTAACTTGATAAGTTGCATACCTGACCACAAGCTCCACAGACAAAAGTCTCTCTTGATGACTTCTTCTCCTTGAACAACTGGTTTAAGAAAGGAGAGTAAGCGAAATGTTTTAGAATAAAAACTAGATGTCTCAAACAAAAGTATAATAATCTTTGATAAGAAAAACTTGGTAATACAGGACAGAAACTGTTAAAGTTGCGAACAGCTCAAATACATCAAAAAGAAAACATAGCAATGTTGACAATTCTGGAATAATTAGAAGATGCTGTAGAATTTTGAAAATGCTAGGAGATAATAACATCAATCTAACCTCCAAGTTCATTCGTCTAAATTTCTTCTTAAGTAATTAATGCAAATCTTGATGCCAAAAAAAAGTGCCCTGATTCGCACTAGCACAAGTCTGAAGAATATAAAGTAACATATTTTACACATCACACATATCACACAATTAAAGTACCCTTTTTCCCAAACAAAAGAGAAGACATTAAGATAAAAACTTGGTGACGGGAAATAGATGGAAAGCAAAAGTTAATGCCCTTACTCTTCAACTATGAATGTGGGGAGAAATGCCAAATAGGGATCAGAGGGAGAACTAGTAGCAAAAAAAATGAAGAAAGTCCATACAACTTCCCCTTCTATAAATAGGTGTCCATTTGTGCATGTGGTGTCATAACGTATGGCATAAATCAAATCAACCCGAGAACCCCCTGTTTAAAGTAAAATTTAGAACCCAATTTAGATCCATAAAATCAGTTGCTCTGCTGTGTATTCAATTTTAATCCTGTTTTAAAGGCAAGATGCCAAAACATTAAAATAATCCATAAAGAATTCTTAAACCTGCATTTCTAGAATATCGCATTCATATCACTTATGAGAACCAATGAGATTTACTCCCAATGGTAAGGGGATTGACATATATAGAGACATGTATAACAACATAAATATTGATTGTGCAAGAACTGCTCACTTTTTGAACCTAGAAGTCAGTTTGACAAGAACATGCTTTCTTAGTCAGTTAAACTGAACATGTACGAAACACACTATTGATTAGATCAACAGTATAAACAGGTTATTTCTTAATAATTAAATTGTAAGTAAGGCATTTGTTCACCATGAATTTGTATTATAAACTCCTAATAGTAGTACTTTTCAAATATTTTCGCATGGGAGGCTACTCAGCAATCAAAATTAATCTAATTGTCACTTTTCTCCACTTGCATTTTGCTATTTGTGCAAGTAACATTATATTTGATTAAGAAAAGAAGCAAATGTCTAAGAGAACAATTTTAACACAATTGCTCCTATATAAGCAAAATCAATCCCTTTTTATCCATAGAATTAAAAGCTTTTCACTACCTAATTCTTCATACATACTTTTCACTTTTTAAATCCAAACACAATTTATATTCTTTACTAGAGAAAGCAAAATATAAGTAACCAAAGCAACAAAAAAAATGGAGCCTTAGAAAACAAACCATGAAAATATCTCTGTTCTACATCCATACTCTAATATTTAACCAACATATGCATAAGAGAAGAAATGTTTGAAGAACTTTCCAGGTCATTGAAATATAAATGAAAAAGAATGCTCTTGCAACATCAGCAGAAAATACTAGATAGTCAAAAACCAACGAGCTCACTTGTCTTTGCATTAAAAAGAAAAGAGAAGAAGAAGAGAAAAGCTCACTTACCTTAACATTGTCTCCCAATATTTTGACTTTTGTTAATGGACCTGTGCTTGACATACCATTCTTTTTCATTCCTTTCACCTTTCCAGACAAGTTCCCTTTAAAAATTCTACTTTCAATCTGCCATCAAAGCATACCTCAGTAACTAACACCATCATGCACCTTGGACACAGGCAGAAGTTGCCTAAAGAGCAAAGACTAGACAGAATCTGTCAAAACAGGCATATGATTAATCCACATAATTAAGGTAACTTGTCTTACGTCCTTTGAATCCTTAACAATGTTCTCGTTCGTAGCATATGACCCATTAGGTTGAGCAGCATGAATGATTTGCTTGGAAATTTTGCTTGCTTTCTTAACACGTACATTCTCAACAGCAATACGTGATTGTAAGCCAAAAGTCAACGCAGCATCTTCTGCAAGAGCTTTGATTTTCTTCTTCTTTTTCTTCTTTTGCTCATCATCATCTAACAAGCACAGTAGCTAGTCAATTACATAAATCATAAATATTTATTCTCCCAACATAAAATGCAGATAATACAAGCAAAACACAGTAACATAAATTTCCTCATTCACAGTAGAGATTGTGCAAATAGAACATTAACAGATGAGCAAGAAAAGTTTGATGAATTTCATGGATTCAGAGGTAACTTTAAGAATCAACAGTCATTTTAAAAAGTTAAATTTGACCGGCAGTATGCCGACAATATTCAAAATTTTACAGATTCTATATTGAAAAATCTTATTTAGGGAAACCACAGGAAAAAGTTCAGTTTGAAAGAAGATTTCAATCCATTCCATAGTTCTAAAAAATTTCAAAAGCAAGGACATTCCAATATACCTGAGCCCTTCCATAACTGCCTACACATTTGTACTTTCACATATAGTAGCTGATATAATTTTGAAAGTGGCACAAGAACTTCAAATGGACAAAAACTATAATCATGTAGAGATAGAAAGAATTTGAAACAAAAAAGAACGAAAATAATTTACATTATGAGTTTTAATACTTTAGCAAATTTATACATTGTACACAATGTTCCTATGTTCAAATATCATACCTCTTTTGGAAGATTATAGAAGGAAAAAGAAATAGTGTTGCAATAAAATTAGATATTTAACTACATATTTGGATCATTGATGATATATCAAATGCTCAATAATTTCAAGAACACATTTCTTGAAAAGATAAAAATACATGCATAAATGATTTTAGTCAGGGCTTAATTATTCAAATCATTATGCAGACAATTGAACAACAATCTTGTTTGACCAACAGACAGGCTTTTAGGCAACTTGCTTATACATGCATACAAGTAAACATGACCGGATAAAATGCTTGACTTGGCATAAAAATTGACAAGAATGATGCACAAGTTACAATCTAAAATTGAAATCATAAAGAAAGAAGAAATTACTGCTAAGTACTGAGGGGTTATATCAAAAGCATACTTCATTGCACACTTGCACAGAGCACACCGAAGCACATAATTTAAGAGAAATTTTTTTATCTCCAATCATACATTTCAAGCATTTTCAAATTTAAAAATATAGAGAAAAGAAAATGTTTAAAGGAAGATAGTTTTGTTTAAAAATACTTTTGTTTGCTTTGTCAAAGATAGTAACGAATATCATAGATCATGGATCAGTATCAAAATAAAGGAATGAGTAATAGTTGTCATCAGTAGTCACCAGCATGACAGTGGTTATATTCACCAAAACAAAGGAATGACTAACTGTTCTCAGCAGTCAAACCCCCCCCCCCCCCCAAACAAAAAAAAACAAAAAACTGTCCTCATCAGCAGCCACTAGCTTGATGATGGTTGCCAAACTCATAACTGACAAGCGATGAAGGCAGCTGATGGTCACTGATGACCAACAACCATAGCAAATGAAATAGTGGCTAATAGGGACAGATTTGTTGGGGGCCAATAGCTGGAAAATTCTCATGGGACCCTCACAATTGAAAGCTTGAACTCATTTTGACAATAAAAATAACTCCTATGAAACACATGGGTCAATCATTGCAATGGCATAAGTTATTTTCAAAAACTCAAGTTAAACTTTCGGGCAACAACTATATTTCCAGCAGAACTAGATGCAGGAATCCTAAGAATATTTTCCAGGAATGTTTTCTCAAAAAAAAAAAAAGAAAACAAGGAGACATATTGAACTTCTTAAGACTAAGATTTTGTGGTCATAAAAAAAAAAATAAATAAACACTTTTCGAACAAAATAATTCATACCATCCATGAGTAAACGACATAATTCGGCAGCTTCAGCAGCTTCATCATCAATTTCCTCTTGTGCCTGAGCTTTGGAGGGTCGTCTTCTCATCTTGAGCCCCTTAACACCATCCCCTTTGTCAATCTTGTTATCATTATTACCCTCTTCCCCTTCTTCACATTCCTCTGCATCAAGCAGATTTTCGAGGTCGCCGGCAAAGGAATCAAGATCACTATTTGCCTCAGAATCACTTTCATTTTCTTCACCATCAACAGCTGAAAGAGACTGAATTTGTCGATCCCATATTTCCTGACATTTTTCTCTGGTCTGCTGTTGCAACTGAAGAAAGGACATTCGCTGTCCTCGTGCATACTTGCTGATAGTTGTTGGATCAACCTTTACTCCAGATGCAGCTTGCTCACTTGAGAGCTTGCGTATCATGGCAATACGGTGCCACCTAGTTTGCTTTGCAATCACTTCATCAGGAACATTGAACTTCAAAAGAACCTGGAGAAAAGAAAGAGCAGTTGAGAGACAACAGATATAAACCAAAAAATACACAGCAGATTAGTAAAAACGGCAACAATGCAACCATTTCTTATAAATTTGTTCTGCTTCAAATAACTTAAGAATTTAGAACCAACATATTGTTCAAATAATTATACCATTGCAGCAAGAACTGTAAACTGAACTTGGTTAAATGAGATCAGTGACTATGCTATATAAAAGTTCACTCATGAGTTAAAAAAATGGGCAAAAAGATAAGAAATCACAGATGGTCCTTGATATTAAACCTATTGCGATCAGACGTTACTCTGTTATTCATCTAAGTGTCTTGCACAACCAACTGCTCCATTACACATGTACTTGATCAAGTAGGTAGGATAGAAGCAATATAGACTCCTTTTTATCTCAAGAAGATTTCTCTAGAAACTCTATTATAAAATCCAACAACACCCCTCCCGCCTTCTTGAGAAAAGCCAAAGCAAAGAATGATCATTTCATAAAGCAAAAACTGTTGCATTAGCAACCTAGATAATTGGTCTCAATGTTCACATCATCAATTCGAATATTTTTTCAGTAAATTTGGAAATTTCGTTTTTTTCCTGAACTCAAACAGTCAAAACTTTTCATACTTAGAATGCCATTATTCCAATATCATGGACCTTCAGCATGCATAACACAACCTATGAAACCTTATTGAGTGGTAAGAAAAGTTGCAGATTTTATCCATCTTCATTTGACAGATGAAGCAGCTTAGAGACAACTATATTTATATTTTTTGTAAATAAAACAGCCCTATGGAGAAACAACACCATAGAAGATCCATCACCATCCAAAAACTATATAAGCTATAGGTAATACCAAAATGGTCAAAGAAAACACGACAAATTTTCTTATCAAACTTCAATTGGAAATGTTTTTGCAGGAAAAAATCACCTCTCGTGCTGCCTCCATGCTTAATCGACGGAGGTCTGCATCCGTCCCAGTTACACTAGAACCTCCACGAGCAGCAGCTGTTTTCTTTTTCATCATAGCATTTGACATTGGAGCCTTTGGAGCAGTACGGACATAACTAAATCCTAAGCCTCGACCAGAAGGATCACCAACACCAGTGATTTCCAGGCGTTCAATATTATCTCTGTCCTGGAAAAAGGAAGCGAAGAATAAAAAGTAAACGACAAAATAAAAAATAGAAACATAAAACAAAATAGTGACAATTGATACTCAAAAAGCCACTTCCTCACTCAAAAAATTTTAAACAATATAATTCAAAAGGTCAACTTCATAACATGCAATTTCATTGCTTTTACCTACTTGAAAAGCAAAAACATGAGTAGTTTCTTATTAGCAGAAGAAATTATATTTTACCTGGCTTGTACATGCAACAAAGTTGCTACTCAGATTCCATGGAGTTATCTGTAGCTCCCTTTCAATGTGTGACGCAGCAGCCAGAGCTATAGCTTCATCAGGGAGTTGACTCATTGCAGATGAAACACTGGTAAGAGTTGTAAGTCGTGTGATTCCTAAATGTCTCAGCCGGTATAGACCAGCTAGCATGCTTTCATAAGCACACACCTGAACAAGAACGAGAAATGAAACAATCAAGATAGATGAAATACATGGAAGCACATGTTTTCCAACCTCATAGCCTTCTTTGAAGAATCATGAACAGACCACAATCAATAACAAAGCATCTTGTTTTTCTTTTTGCTTCTCTCCCCTATAGAAGGAAATCAAAGCATATTGACTTCAGATATGAAGAATACATATAAATAGTAGGGAGATAGAAATGAAGATCCTTGCAGAGAAAATGTATATTTTACTTCCAGAAAAGTGTGTAAGAACAACAAAGCACCAAAGAGAAGGTATAAAGCTTTTTGGTTCATAGGATAAGCATGAAGAAGAATACAAAATAAAAGAGTAAAATCAACAGCTAAGCAAACACCATCAAATAGGGATTCCATTTGATAGTATCCACCACACTCATTCACCACTGTTTCACCATATCTAACAGGAGAAAGATACAGCACAAGTCCCAACCATACCACTTCCAAGTCCCTGAACATCCAGCCAGCAGTTGCATCATTAAACACAATGACCATTCCTCTCCAGAAACATAGCAAGCCTAGACATAATCCATCAGCAACTGAATAATGCAGGATAGAATTATTCATATTTCTGCTATAATTTGCACATAGCACTGACTTAAAGCAGCAAAAGCAAAAAGAAAACCTAGCACAGCAACTGCTAGATTCTCCAGAAAGGGCAGCCAGACCCATCACTCCACTTTTTCTTTTTCTTTTCCAAAATAACATGATATAAAGCTCTTCAAAAAGTACAACAGAAAATCAGATCAGAAAGCTTCTGGTAGCAAACTCCCAACTCAAAAGTACATGAACTGCAGGAACTTTATACCTAACTGGCAAAAGCGACTTGTCGTAGAGACCTAGATGCCATTGCAATAGCTAATAATAGCATACAAGTAGCTGCTAACATCTCTCAACCACTATATGTTCAATAAAGCCTCAAGGCAAAAGATTGTCTACTATGCCAAAAGATACCTTTGAAAATATTTCAGCAATTTCCATTACTAATCAAAAGACATATATTAGCATACACAAGAGTATAAAAATGTTTATGATATTATTATTAAAATTGTTAAACAAATGCTTACAAATAAGGATCCCACACTTGCTAAATTACCCATGGTTTTAACATGCAGTGTGTTCTGTCTCTGACCAAAGAAATGTTTACAAATTTATTTACCTATCTAGTTATATTATACTTATAGCTGCAAAATTTAGAATAATATTATAATAAATTTCTTTCTCGTTTAGTGTGTGTGTGTATATATATATATATAGATACATATATATAAAATAGATAGATAGATATATATATATATATATAGAGAGAGAGACAGAGAGACAGAGAGGAAGAGAGGAAAATAGTTAAAGAGGTTCCTCATGTGCATTTGAGGGAAACAACTTCCAAAATTACAATCTGTAATTTATTACCCAAGTTTCTTACAGTTTTTAAACATTTACCAGAATGCATTGTCCATTGACCAAATTTGCTAACATTGGTCAATCATCAAATATGAAAAATACCTTAGGAAGTCATTCTCCACAAACCAAGCAGAACCCTAATTTAGTAGAAAGTGTTGAAGAAGACTAAAGTGGTGCAAAGTGGGAATGAATCAGATTTTTTTTTATGAGATTTTTAGAATTGAGGTTGTTAAGGATAATGATGGGTTGCAAAGGTTATTCCAAGCCTTATTTTGGCATACACAAAATTAAAATGAAAAGAAAATATTATTAATATTCTTTGACCAATATGTATAAAAACATAATATCAATAAATCCATCCATTCTAATTTAAAAATTGCATGAAATTAAATGGTCATATTAAAGAAATATTGATTGATAAAGAAATTATATGAAAATCTAGGCGTGCACCTATAGAAAAATATCATTTTTCAGCAAGTTCTATACAATAAAAAACAGTTTTGATGTTCAAAAAAAGTTAAAATGATCAAATTTAACTCTTTGTAATCCTACAATATTTTTTTAGTAAAATTCCTGATAAATACTGATAAATACAAATTGGCACATTGAAACATAAAAGTAACAGTATGTACCATTTCAAAAGAAAAATCAAACATCAACCTATACAATACCGACAATCTTGCTTGGATGGCAAAAAACCATTCCATGCTTCTCAATCTAAAATATTACTTGAACTCGGGGGTCAGTGTCAGACCTTGATGCATGTCCGACATGGGTTCATACGTTTATTTATTTCTAAGTTTTACCATATATTTGGAGGGTCAGACCACCATATCCACGTCCATGGGATGTGTTGGACATGGATACTTCAAGGAAAATGAAGAGCCAGAGCAACATATGACTAAAAGCCCTAATAACAATGACCTTGATCAAGCACCTTCCAAAAAATTTCAATAACTAATGTTAAGCCAAAGGACCTAAAAATTAAAAAGGAGAATCCAGATATGACTGGCTACAACCAGCTTTAATATCTAAAAATTGTGGCTGTCAATTTTGCTTGCAAAATCTCAATATATATGTATATATAGTTGGTTTGGGGAAGGTGGGACTTGAACCCTACCCTTTCAGCAAGGAGATCATGCACTAACTATTGAGCCAAATGATCAGGTGCAAAATATAAAACTTGTTAAATTAACAATGGCAATTATATTTAAGCAGTCACCACAAATACATCTTTGAATGACCTTTACTTTATTGTAAATACAATCTGCCTACACCTTCAGTCATCTTCCAACTTATAACATAGCACTCAAATAAATAAGGCAAATAAAAAGAAACAAATGGCATATGATAGTGACACTCACGTGCTCTGGAGACACCAATTTTCTCAGAACACCTTCAGGTGGAATGTGGAAATCAGGCTTCATGGACCAAATCTGTCGTCCATTTTTATCCCTCTAGGATGCAAAATAGGCAAGTGTAGCAAATAAGTTAATAGATGATAATACAAGGATGATTCAAAAAAAAAAAACTTTAAAATTTGAGGATCATTGGCATCAATATGAACATCAAGTAGGACTCAAGCAACTTTTTAATTAATAGTCGACAAGAATTCAAAATAATAGAGAACACAAAAGTTACCCGCAAATAAGCACATTCCTTCAGCTTTTTCCGGACAATTGCATCTGAAAGGTTAGGAAAATGAATAGACAACTCATCTGTACTAATGAATGGAGTCAAACCACGTTTGGCAGCCGCAGAAAACTCCCGATACACATAAATCAGCATTCTGTTCATGAGATATGTCTGAATATTCTTGGATCCAGGTGCGAATACCTCCATGAGAGGCTCCTGCAAAAGGAAAATTGGATCAATCAGAAAGGGAAAGATAATAAGGATTCATTATGCTGATTCTTTAAAGAACTCACACAGAACAATCATACACACTCAAATAAATATATGTGCACAAACTATCTACTATGACGTGGATTTATCTTGTGAATTGCAAGAGCAGGGGAACAAACAAGTAACAAAGAACAAGTAGAGCAACAAACAACCTAGTCGCTAACATCTTGATAAGCATTCAACCAAAAACCAATTAGAAATAGGCAGAGACACCCAACCTAAATATGGGGATGGAATATACTTCAATCTTATGCACTTAGCATCACTTAACAGAAGTTGTACCATCTTCTATTGGACCTGATACCTCTCAAGCTGGACCTACTTAGCATGGCAAACTTCCCATAATTTAAAAAACTTAAATGATGCCAAAATCCAACCAACAATTTGTATAGCATCAATAACCTATATTTCACAAACATAATATTTACCGTATGCATAAACCAAGACATGAATAAATTCACACACACACACATACAAGTGGCACAAGTCCACACCACAGAGAATGCCCTCAATCTAATCTGTGTCCTTTCTCGACTCTCAATTTGCATATAATGGCTTTTACTTGCAATTATTCACCCAAAACCTAGCAGGTTCAAGTTAAATATTCATCCATGGAGTTATTTTAAGTCAAAGTTAACTTAGAAAAGAGAAAAATGCAAAAGTTAAAATTCTAATAACCACAAAAGTGACCATAATGAAAAGGGTATTTGTTTCTTCAAAGAAAGATTAACTCCCCTTAGACCACATTTATATATTCAATAGGTTCAACTCCCTTGATTCTAGCAAGGAACTCAATGGCATTCACTAATTGAAGAAAAATATGTAAAATACATAATAGACTAGGGCGTCCAATATTTATTTGAAGGTTAAATCAAGCTGATCATTGGACAGGCCATGCCTAAACATCAAAGGCATAAATGGTCAGCCCAGTCCAGCCTAACTATCAGACAAAGTTTTCCCTGAACCTAGTCCTAAAATTAAATGGCTGTCAAACATCAATATTGCTTACTCATTTATAGTCTCAAATGCAAAGTAAATAAACAAAAACATAATAACAAGAAAACACACTCCATGCAGGCCAAAGTTTCTTTATCAAACCCAGTCCCATCATGAATAACAGATTTTAACAAGGGCAGTGCAAATACAGGCACAGGAAGGCAGCCAACACAATGATTGAGTATATGGGAAAAACATGCAACAAGCAGCATCAACAGTAGTAACCAGGAGGATAAAATTGCATCAACTCCATAAAATTCATGGCACAAGTTTGATCTAATTTCTCGGAAGGCTGCATGCAGGAAGACCTATAGCTGTAACAAACCTGTTGTCCGACAACAGCAATCTTATCAATACGTCGTATTGAAAGCTTTCCTTTTGGTGATCTAACCAATAGGAAGTCCGTTGACGGCACCTTGTGGGAAAATATTGGAGCCTTATACATGTTTGTTTCAAGAGATGACTGGCTACAACCGGCTTTAATATCTCCAAGGAAGGGTGATTTATCAGTTGGCTCTAGAAGCAGAACATTTCCCAATGTTTGGTTTCCATTGCGTAACAATCCACTAATTTGATCACCTGAAGATGTTTTCTGATGGTAGGTGCACAAGTTTGCACCCATTCCCGCATTGCTCAAAAGTAAAGGCCTCTCCTCACAATACCTGAACCATGAAAGAAGTGTGAAGTTCTCTTGAGAATTCCATATGTAATATGCCCACTTTCATGAGAAAACTTAATTCATGATAATGAAAATTTTTTGTATAATCAAAAAAGAAAGCATTAACAAAGATTGAAAATGCGTAATTTATATCCAAGTGAAGTTAATAATGCAATGGAAGAGAAGAAAATAACTGCTAATGCCCACAAATGTTACTGAAAAAAGCTGTCTAACACGGGCTAGTCCTATGTTTCTTATTCTAACCTACATGATAAAAGAAATTATTATCCATCCTGAATGCCGGAAAGTAAGAGAGATGCAGAGCTAGTTTCCATTAGATGAAAATTAATTCAACAGGGAACTTGGTTCTGTATCAATTTCTCACCATCAATATGTAGAAAATAAAATCTATATTATTCTCTCTCTCCATTTATTACCAATGGATTTTAGGTTAGAAGCTTAATAAAGGCAATATGTCTCAATGAGAATGTTTCAAAAAAAAGTAAAGACCCTCATTTATAATTTGATGAAGATGGCATTGGGAAGAAAACAATCAAACCCAGAAATTCAAACAAAAGAGCCCAAGTTTATAGCGGACTTCAGAGACATTTTATAGTGTTTTTCGCTGTTTCATTAAAAATTAACCCTGTCCCTCCACATTGAAAGCTACATGTAGAACTTCCTTCCAAAGAGATTAACAGCTTATAGTGTAACAGATGGACAAACACAAGCTTCAGATGCTTCATCAGAAAAAATATCTTGCAGTAAAAATGACCAAACCAAACCAGAGCAAGAACATATGCACAGTTAAAAACACCAGGAACCCAGTTCATGACCTTAAGATTTAACTAATGCCATAGCTTGGCACATCTGCTCAACCAATGATGCCCACTCTTCCGAAGTACCAGGAAAGAATAAACTTTTCTCTCACTACTTAGTATCAACTAAATGGATCATACGCTCCTAATATGCTCCATTAGCACCATAGCCCCAATAGACTTTGTCAAAATAATGTGCATTAAATGCATTATCCAGGAGTTGTACTTACTGCCCATGAAATATGTGTAGGTAACAAAGGAATATGTCGAATGTTGTGTTAAATCAAGAATTAGACACATTTTATCACATTAAATATCAGAAATTTAGAATATATGGCACATTTATTTTTGAAATGCCAACCATGACAAAAGGTTCCTCGTATTTCATTACTAGACAACCCTAGACTTACACAGCTAACATTTTGTTCTTTTGCTGGTTAACAACTAAATGATTTCTTCGATCACTATCCTGCTTAATTAATGTTTCTTCAGTATTGCTATGCATGTAAATGCAGTATCTAACATTAAAAAATACAAAATTACCAAATATAAAATAAAATAAAAAAGAATATATATATATATATAGAGAGAGAGAGAGAGAAGAACGGGAAAAAAGACATATATATAAATGCATAAGACAAGTATAAACTAAAAAATATATGTATTACACTTGGGAGATTTTATACAATGTTCATAAAGAGACTTCTGAATGCAATAGAAAAATTAATGCAAAAGGTTTTTCCAATGATTACATAAACTTCAGGTGCCTAATAATACCGTAGGGCATAATTGTAAGAAAGAATAAACTTTCAAAAGTATAAAGGGCCAATATGCAAGAAAGGAATAACCATGTTGCATTCTGGACATGAGAAATTTTTCAATAAAGGAAAAAATAATGAAACTAAATATGAATGATATTAGATCTCCAACAAGCTCTTAAAAAAACGCAACTCCCTCCAGCCCAAATCATATAGCAACTCTTGACTTAGCCGTTGGCAGACAATTTAAGGAAAAACTTTTGAATTCAGGTTTATTACAGCAAAACTTTTCGAATTTTCTTACAATATTGAGAATTAATAGTTATTTATACCACAATGTTTTTAAAATAATTATGAAAAACCTAACACAAAATCAGAAGAAAGTTTTGTATTTAAAATCAAAAATAAATCAAAATCAATGTAATCACAAAAAAAAACAATCTTCCCCATCAATCTCAATGTACTACAAATCAAAAAATCAAAAGCTTTTGAAATTCCCACCAGCTAAAAGATCACAATGGACCAAGAAATCAAATTAGGAAGCTAAATTAAACATAGCCTCATAAAAAACAAAGCTCCAGATTTTACATTTAATCAGATAGTAGTAAATTCAAGAATTAACAACTGTTGTGAAACCAGATTATGTCAATACTATAAATGACATAGAAAGAAAGCCAATTAGGAGGATAAGATTAATGATTAGACAGACCATGCAGTTGCTCAACAAGAAAATGTCATAACTCACAAGATTTTAAAATGTATTATACTCAAAAAAATGAGTGGAAAAAAATGGAGAGGAAACAAAATGATGTTGAAGACACTTACTCCATAAGAAAGACATGACCATCTTTCACACAAAGATCAGATTTCTTCTTAAATGCCCCGGGAGGCCGTAAAGACTTATTCTCTCTTGGAAGTTTTTGTGCCCTTGGCCACAGATGTATTCTTGTGCGAATAAGATGAAGCAGAGAATTTGGTTGAACATTTTGGGCAGCAAGAGACTTATCGTCTGCAAGCTCCTTCCCTAGATAAAATATTTTTACCGTTTCTGCAGGCTTGAAATCTACATTAAAATGATACCAAAATGAACCATTAAGATCCTTCAGAGATCTAGAAATCATACAAACTCACAAAGCAATCACTTAAAAAACAAACATCTTCAGGTTAATAACTAAAGTACAGTAGATAAACATGTTAAAAACGAGACTTGAGTACCTAGCTTTTTAGAAGCCTTTGCTTTAACAGAAGAGACAGTTTCCTCAGCATCAACATGTAGTTTGCTTCCTTTGCCTCCCAAGCTCTTCAATATAACTTTCATGGGTCCTTGTGTTGGCAGCCTCCCTTGTTGCCTGACAGCCACCTCAATGTCATGTGGATACCATATCGCTCTTGGACGGTGAAAATTTGCTATATCTTTACTGCAAAGTTATAGATTAAACTCAAAAGCTAAAATCTGACAGGTAATCAATCGCATACTGACAGTGTAGTAAAGCAAGTAAGATAATGTACAAGAGCCAGGAAAAGCCAACATATAACAAAATGATTAACCAGGAATCCACCAATATAGAATAAAATTATTCTAAAGGACTTTAAAAGTAATTATATAGAGAAAGAAGATGGTAAAATATCGGCAAGATCAACGTTTGTTCTGCTAAATGACAACAACAACTTACCAAAGAGCAATCGAGCTAGACTGCTGAAAGCAAGTAGATTATACCAACATCGTCAGCAATCAGCCCACTAATGAGCTATTGACTATTCTACTTAGAGATCAAATATAAGAAACCTTAAATTGAGAGGGCGCTATTTTTTGTAAATAAAATACTAGGGTAACCGGGGCATGGCTTTTTTTTTTTTTTATCTTCGATAACTAATACAGGGCATGGCTATCAATGCTGATAGGTATCTTAATTCGTTATTCTTCAAAGCAGGCCCAATAACTTCAATAAAAAACATAACACTGACAAGTTACGTTGATAACAACACTCAATAAGTTGGATGAGAAGCATACCATACCAAGATCTTCCTCATAGCTAAAGCTAATTCAAATGCTAAACAAGGTTGCATTGGCATAATACATAGGGACTTTGTTTGATTAAGCGGACGGAGAAAAGGAAAATTTTTAAAACCTGCCAAGTTGGGAAGATTTGGATCTGTAAAGACAAAATTCTTGACATTTCAATATTTCCATTAATCATAAAAAAATTATGAGTTACCATTTCCTTCCGTTTGAAATCCTTAACCAAAGTTGGAAAACCACCCCTCACTTCTCAAGCAACCGAAACAAGGGGAACCTATATTACCTTTTTCGCTCTTCCATTCTCCTCTCCCTCTCCTTCTGTTCCCCTCATGGTTAACTAGCATAGGGTATGTATAAAGTCACAGCTGGTAGAGATTTCATTCTCTTCCTTCTTCTTCTCCTTTTTATTCGCTAAGCAACTGAACTTCATTTTAGTGGATCCAATAAAACAAATATATAATGCCAGGAAAATTTAAGCCCAAGAAAAAGTGACAACATTTTGTATGAATTTTTCAAAGTGAACACAACTCAAATATTAAAGAACAGTAAATCCATCAACAAGAAAGCAAAATGTGCAAAAATAAAAAATGAAACAGTAACTAGCAAAGGAGCAGACAGGAAACTGAAACAATAAAAGATATTAATAGGAACACCTACTTGCTCAACTTCAACTTCATTGTTTGAAGTTTAAGTGCAGGTACTGAATGATGAACTCTCACACCATGAGCCATGCGTTTATTAGAATTTGATTGTAACTGCTGAGAAACTTTACGGTTCACATAGAACTTGTCATTAGCAATATTGAATTGCCAACCAGTTTGATATTTATGATCCGACACCTCAGAAGAACGACTGCTTGGCTTTACAGGTTGAGTAATGATCATAGCCCCTGCATGGAGCTGAAGATGTTTACTTTCCTTGTTATCTAAAATTTCAAAAAGCATCTGCTCATCTTGAAGATCAAGAATTAGCTTAGGCTTTGCAATGACACTACGCGGTTCCCACATAATATTGTCTAACCATGACCCTTCAATCATATCTCTGTTTTGCAACGTAAGTTTTCTAAAACACCTCATCAGATCACTTTTATCTGGCTCTAAGGCAACATATTCTCTTTTACTGTCACCATCATTTGAAGAATCTACTCCCAACAAAGGTTCCAACCTCAACAGTTGGGGATGGAATCTGCTTTCCGAGAACTGAAGGTCCTTAGATCCTGGAGAATTTTTAGAGTCAAACGACTCCAAGAAAACAGAGGAACAACAAAGACCACTGTCACGATCCTTCTCATAGGGTTCAGTAGACTGCTCGGAAAGTAGTTTTCGCCCCGCCTGTGGAATGGTCTCTCTTGCAACTGAAGCTTCCAAATCAGAGACAGAGATTTCAGGACTCTCCAAAGAATTACCACTTATTGCAGGAGAATTGTCCCAAAGAATTTGTTCTTCCCAGTCCAGCTGGTCAAGAGGAAAAAATCTCAGACAGGAGGGTGACAGCCCTCCAGAAGAAATATCTACTAATAACCCCTCTTTCATTGGTTCAGGACTAGGATAAGAATCCTTAATGTGTTCTTTACTATGAGCAGACATTTCCAAACCTCCTTGTACAAAAGGTTCATCAGTAAATTCAGATATATCTTGTTGGATGGCCTTTTCCCAACCAAAGAATGAAAAACATTGACCGGTGTCCTTTAGAAACACCTCTTCATCCTCTTCAAAAAGATCAGAAGCATCCATAGATTTGTACTTCTCTGGACAAATGAAGTGGAAAACCAAAAATTACAACAGGTGAAAACAAAGAAGGATCTAGAAAACTGGGAACTAAAGTCACTGGAGATAATTTTTCCTCCATTGCGTTTGTTAGGGGGGAAGGGGTTGCCAAACAACAAAAATGTTCAATATCAATGGCCAAGAATATTGACCAAAGGATGCACAATTTTGAGATGCATGAGAACTCCTAAATTGATGTCATGCACCTACTATTAGATTTAACCACACAAATTAAGGATGAGAAAATTTATAATAGACAATATACCTCTATGAGTGAAATAGCCATGGTCTCTTTTGTCCCCTTTCTTCAAGGGTTCATGAATACCAAATATTTCGGAAAACCGTAAGATTACCTCACCATCTTCTACACATAAAACAGGCAGAGCTGTGGAACCTTTACAATCTAATGGCTCTTCCAGAGCATCAGGTACCTCCTGTTGCAACATTTAGAATAAATTAAATCCTTCTTTATCAAATCAAAATCAAGTAACTGATTTACAAAAGAATTACATTTCCTGTTATAGTTTGTCAGAGTTGAGCACTTAAAGAAACAGAACCAGCAAACAAATCATAAAAAGACAAATAAAAAGCAATATCCTATCTAAATTTCTGAATGGCAACCTCAATGTGAAATATGTTCAGTGAGTTTGTGTTGATCCCATTAAATGCGAACATTTGAAATAAGCTACCAAACACTCCAATTGTCATCCTATCACCCACCTCACTAAGGGCAGTTGGGAGGGGGTGAATATACAACAATTTCATATACAAACATGTCATTATAACTAAGGCACATTAGAGGGATGCTGACCATGATTATGTTGTGACCAGGACCCTGTGAAAGGCTTGCTAACTCCCACAAACAAAATACATATCAACCAAAAAGACACAGCAGAAGATTATGTGAAAGGGGTAAAAGACAGAGTCAAGAGTCAGATGTTAAAATCTTTATATTTCTTGCAGCTTAACCAGAACTAGTGATGAAGCACACTGGCAGAAGCATCCAAAGGTGTTTAGGATACATGCTAAGGCTGGTTCTAATGTCCAACCCTTAATTTTGCACATGTTCATTGATGAGAAGATGAGCTGGGAGCTTGAGTAGACTTTATTAGTGTTTTGTGTCATAGATTTATGTTTCTTTAAGTTAAAAGCAATTGCTCTCAATTTATTTTCTGTTTTAAGTGTCAAGTGCAGTTTTCTAATTTTCTGATTTGCTATAAACTTCAAATTTTTATTCTAGGATCTTAGTTTTGGGTTTTCCTTATCCTATTGGGTTTGTTTTAAGTTATGTTTGCTAATTTTCTATTTGGATTATCAGTATTTCTTAAAGTCCTAAATGGGAGTAGAAGTTCTATTTCTTCTAGGACAAATGATGCTGGCAGTCTATGGAAATCAAAGTACTATTTCTCAAGACATAGTTTAATATCAAAGAACTTTTGGCATAATTACTTTGTTATTGTGTGATGCAATCAACCTTAGGTCTGAATCCTGAGTCCCGAGGAAACCTGGTGTGATGCTTAGGGGTTTCTTTTCTTTTCTTTACTCTAAGTTTCCTGTTTTCCTCAAGTATTTAAATTACTAAAAAAGACAAAAAAAAAAACTACAAAGCTTTCCTACATAACCGTTAAGGCATCATGGTAACACTAAAGCAACACCACTGGAAGTTCTCTGATAATAATTATATAAGTAGACCAAAACTTAAGTAATAACATGGGTACTTATAGCTAAACCCTAGACCCTATTTCAATTGCAAAATACCAAATATAACCCTAATGCCTTAATACTTACAAAATAAACAATGTACTAGTTAATAAGAAAAACTAAATATTATTCTATATCTACATCTTTATATATAAAGACAACAATAAAAGCTCAAGTTTTGTAATGTAGTGAAGCATGAGCCTTTAACAGTGGTTCAACTCAATAACACCCCCTAATTATACGTCAAATTGTCAATCGTGGTCACTCTGGAGACAAATATAAACATTAGATATAGCACTATCATGCCTGAAAAGAAAGAGTCATAAACAATACCAGGACAATGTACTGCTAACATCAATGTCGGTTTCATTGACTTTAACCTCCAATATAACGTCAATGGAGCTTAAAGTCAATATCAGTTTTATGGCTAACCCATATGAAATCTCCAATTTTCTTTGACATGACATTCCAAAAGGAACATCTGACCACAGCAAATCATCGTTGTCCAAATATTTCTTACACTTCTAACAGATTTATACTTAAATTTTAGAGATTATAATATGTAAAAGCCAAATGTTACATTGAATACACACCTGAAAGTCTTCAGTACCATCTACTTGATTTTCATTATCTGAAGAGCCACAATGTACATCATGTTCAGGAGATTTTTCTACTCCAAATGTTACAGCAAGATGCTCTTCCTGCTCACCTAGAAAAGATAAACCACATTCTTAAATATGCCAAAAGATATCTTAGAAAAAAATATGCTTTCTCTATAACATATATTAAAATGCAAACTATTCAGTTTCTCATTTATCATAAGGAAAGATAATAATTTGTAAATTAACCAGAGCCAGAAGAAACTAATCATTATTCTTTGATCCTAAAGAACATGTAAATAAGAGACTTTAACTTAATTTTCCTCAGTAGAAACAAATTATATACATCTAATAAAAAAAGGAAAAGCATATATATATATATATATATATATATATATAAGAGAATTTGACTCAATTTTTGTAATTAAATACATAATCACATAGATTTAACCAAAAAAAAGAAAAGAAAAAAGGAAAAGCATATATTTATGAACTAGACACATAAAACTAGCAATCCCTTCTTATTCTTTGTTAATTTATGGACTATTTAGATAACACTAAGACTGTCACTTCCACTTCACAAGAGACAAGCATATTGTTAAAAAAAAAAAAAAATGAGATCACATTAGCAGATAACTAGAAGAGGTGGATCCATCTACATTCACAAACCATCATGGAGAGTAGTCAACTCATTGTTCAACAATCAGTCAGCATAAACCAGTAACCAAACAAGAAACCAGCTTTAGATAACTTCTTTATACATGTAAAGATGTTTACAATACCATGTCTACAGTACACACTTGTAGAACACAAATTGCAGCAAGATGGAATTAGAATTTCATCAAAATTATTACAGGAAATTTGTACACGAGAAAATTTGACCACCTATAACTGGATCTGAACTTTCTAATTTAATTGATGAAAATTACAAGAAATATCAATCAATATGGAAAAGCCCACTGTCCAACTTGGGTAGAATCTATAGATGTTTATAACAGTCATTACAAATGAAACATGCAAACTTCTATTGATACGTTTAATGGTATAAAAGGCATACTAGCTAGAAAAATAAACAAAAGTAATTTTCAAACACCAAACTTTTTTCTTAAGATGAAAAAAGACCTAATGTTCAAAAGATTTTTTCAAAAGGTACACAGGAAAGAGATAATTGTTATCAAACATTCAAACTCCTAAATAGGAATAAACAAAAATACCCAACTAACAATATTGGATGGTCAGCACAGTGATTATCATATACTTTAATTTTCTTAGAAAGAAAATGAATATATGACCAAAAGAAGGAACAATTAATAATAATCGAACCAAAAAATACTGCAGTTTAATAATGAGCCTAATAACATAGTTTGAACCCAAAAAATGCTTACTTATCACCACTTGTTCCTTTTCAATTTCTTCATCCTCATCATAATTTTCATCATCAAAAACAGAGGCTTTAGGCTCCAAAGCAGAGGAAACATCAGCAGTAAAATATTCCTTTTGGGGAAGTAAATGGTCCTCCTCAGTAGCAGCTTGAATCTCCGGACCATCATACTCCTCATCAATATCTTCATAGTCAACGGCAGTTTCAGCCTTCTCATCATAATCTACCATGGTGAAACCCCATTGAACACATAATCAGAAGATTTGACCAGACATAGACACCAGATAGAGTTGTAAGGCAGACAAAACTTTAAGCAACAAAATTGTTTCAAGCAATGACATATAGCCTCCATATTCTTTACATTGAAAGGTTGAAAATAAATAAACTACATTCCAGAAAATAAAAATATATATAGAAGAAATACAAACAATACCTAGAGGCACATGTCATGACAAAAGCAAAAACTTAGAAAATCACTGAGAATTGTGAGGATTGTCTACAAATCACAGTAGGAGACAGAACCAAAGTAATAGATCAGCTTAGGCATTCTAAAACACTTTGAGCTTTTCAAACTCAGGAATTGGTTTGTGCATGCTTGACAGCAGATATTGTATGCACCGGTATACCATTCTTTGGGTTTTTACCTAAGGAGGATAATTGCCCATGAATGTAAAACAGCCGATTACTAAACCACTTTGTCACCAGTTCAGACGATGGGGAAAGTAAATTATGGATTTTATCCAATCAAAGTTTGTTCCATAAGCACTAAGTTTCCCAGAAACATTATGATTTGCAGCTAAATCTAGCTTTCACTCTATGACTCAATCAATTAGTATGTTCCTGAACCATACATATTCAAATGCATGAATCTAGTTAAAGGAAATTTTTATCTTTTACATATTTTTTTATATTCACAGTACCAACAGTAATCCAACCTGAAATCAGTATCTCAACCGTAAAAAGAAAAAGCTTCCTAAAAAATCATCAATTAAGTAAAATGGATCAACTATCTGAGATCCAGTAGACTCATGAGCAGAAAAACAGCTACCTTAAGTATCAAGTGTACTTTTTTTTATCACCAAACACCACCTTAAGTCAAAATGCAGAAAAGTTCCCATAAAGAATTACCACTAACACCGCTTCTTAAAGATTATTCTAATGGAGCCAACATAAATAAAGCATAGTCAACATGAAGAAATAAAGATACTAACAGAACCCAAAAAACTGCATGAGATAGATTTTCCGGCCATACAACATCACCTTGATCAGCAGCATCAACCGGAGTGTGTGGTGATTTTTCCGACAACTGACAATCAAACAGCATTATTAGCATAAGAAACCCTGGCTTAAAAATAATAATAATAAAACACTAAAGATGATAGCCTGCATTAGATTTATTAATTACAAATCATAGATTCTTATGGGGAGATGGGGACAGAGATAAAACACATAATAGATTAACATACATCTATATCTGTAAAAGACGGACCCAGCTTGTCCGCTAGTGCAGCAAGATGCTCCTTTGCATCCTGGGAGAAATGAAGTTATTGTTATCTTTAATGAAGCAGTTAACAAAGAGATACTTAACAGGGAAAAAAACGAACAGTAGGAAAGTGAAAAACATATTTTGCATACAAATAGCAATAACTATTAATGAAAATGAAGGCTAAGAGGGAAATAGGTTCTTAGGGGTACCAACCCAAGCATCAAAGTGCAGGCCAAATTAGTAAAGTTATCTCGTACTAGGGTTTATCAGGTTGTGGAGCATCCTTAGCTTTGCTAGAGAAGCATTACCATTTTTGGAGGCCATGTGGGGAGAAATCATGGGTCCTTCAACAGCAACAAAGTCCTTCTGGTCCAAAGGAAGCTAACCTCATATAACTCTCAGATCATTTAGCCCTATAATTCCCTAGTTTAATTAGGTGCCATTAGGGTTTTTTTTTTTTTAGTTTAATTAGGTGTCAGTATCATTAATTTTTTATTAGCTGGAAAGAGATGCTTCTTGGGTTCCTTGGTCTTATTTTGAGTCTAATTTAGCTACTGAATCTTTTTTTCTTTACATAGCATTTGGTTTATACAGCTTGAGTCTCATGATTGAACTAAAAAATCATGTCTAAACCAATTAAGATTGGAGATTTTAATCTCAAAACTTGTAAGAGTTGCATTCAATGGGTCTTTTCAAACTTGGTAGAATTGAATACAGGACTTTCAGGAACAAAAGCATTTTATGAAAAACATGTAATAGAGTGATTGGTTATTGTCTGTATCTAAATTACATTTAGCAATTCTTCATATCAAATAAACTTTACAGCACACCCTGTAATTTATTCTAAAATCAACTCAAACTAGTTCACTGCAGCATCAAGATGCTTCTATTCCACCACTCTTTTGGTCCAAAATTCAAATTAATACAAATATTAATTGCTACTTAAACCCTAACATAAGTAGATTCGAAATACTTGTACAAAATCAGGTCCAAAACAAAGGAAGCAGAAAAGGCGAAGTGTTACACATTCCAAAACCCATCAAGAATTTGAGATTCTACCAACTCCTTTACATACAAAATAAGCAAAGAACAAGATTTAAACGACCTCATAAACAGCCACAACAACATAGAAATGTTTTGTTTACGTTCGGGCATACAATTACCAACAATTTAGTTAAGCTACAAAAGGGAAAATAATAAAATTATAAAACAAAAATTACCTCATCAAGATAATCAACATCAAGATCGCCAGAATTATCGACATTCCCAAACATAAAACCCAGAAGCCGATTACCGCCACCAGCTTCTTCCTCGTATTCTTCTTCTTCATCGTCTTCATCTGCTCAATAAAACAAAAGAAAAGGAAAAAAAAAAGATTCAGAATTTAATGTAAAAAAAAAAGGAAATTTTAAGTCAAGAATATGCCAAAAAGAAGAGAAAATGAAGACCTTGGAAGCTCGAGTGACCCATATTTTCTTTCTTTTTTCTCTGCAAATTGGAGAAAAGAAAACCCAGATGAATTCAATCTAACCTAAACGCATGGAGTCCTTCAAGGGTTTTGGGAATTGAACTGAGAGAGAAAAGAATTGGGAAAAACAATTTGGTTTCTTGGTTAATAAAAGAGGGAAATAAAATATTAAAATTAGAAAAAAAGGTTTCTTTTATCTGTCTTTCCAACAAAAAAATGTAGAAAATCATCCAGTGCTCGAAATTGAACGACGAAATAAACAGAAAAATTGTTGTGGAGGCCAGGGGCATTTATAGAGGAGCTATCGTCGGGTTCGAGTTTTAGATTCTTAACATAAATGGGCCAATGGCCGAAAAAACTTGGTAGATGGGCCGAATGTGTCGACTCATTCAAAGTGACTGATGTCCGGTCCGACTGAAGATTTGGGCCTCGTTCCCTTTTCCCTTTCTCTCTCATGCACTGAAGCTGATGGATCTTTAAGGAAAAATTGTTTTTGTTTTTGAAAGCTTTTGAATGTTCAAGGTGCCTATTTCTGATGGTTTTGGAGAAAAAATTGGGGCTATGAAAAAGATCAATTGGGGCTTTAAAAGCAAAAATAATGAAACCTTTTGAAAAATGGGTTTCTCAATCCAAAAGCTTCTTTATACAATGAAACATTCTCATGCGCTAAAGTTACATTGTTTTTATTTTTGAAAAAATTCTTCTTTATATAATTTTTTTTTTCAAAATGGGTTTTGGAGAAAAAGTTAGGGCTGTGGAGACAAAGGGAAAGGCACTATATACATAAAAAAGAAGATACACGGGAAAACCCCTTGCGGCTATGGAGAAGATGAAAAAAATTATTTTCATACATTTTTACCTGCAACTGATGATATTTTCTGATTCAGTATTGACAAATTATTTTTTGTAATCTTAACTTTAGTTACCTTTCTTTTTGTCTGTCATATTTATTATTGCTTTATTTTGTACTTTTGGACTTCGTTCTTCAGAGTTAATGCTGTGCACCAAGTCTGAGCTTGATGAAGAACTTCACGATGATTCTTCCAATGAATGTAAGCTTTTGATGGTTTCTGGTTTCCACTTATTTAAGAGAATGTTGAATGGCATGAATCAAAATACCTGTAAAGAGGCATATTAAGTTTTCAAATTTCTTTAGCTTATTGCAAAATGTTGTAAATGGAAAATGAGTTACATCAAAATAGGCTTTATTTTTGTATGAAGAGGCTTTGGCATAACCAAAAAAAAATTGGCAGTTATTTAGTATAAATTTAGATATATTTAACATTTTCAATTAAATTGTTAAACCAAGTAAGGAAGAAATAAATGAAAAAACTAAAGTTATCTAATTATTTCTAATCAGATGAAGGGTTTTTAGGTAGTGTTTTTTTACCATAAAATAAAATTGGGTTTTAGGTATTGTTTAATAATTTGAAATTTCTTCTTTCAAAAAAAATAGTAATTGTAATTAAAATGCTAAAAATCGTAATACATTGTAAAATTAGTCAATTTATAAATGAATCGTTGTAAATCTGTCTAATTCACTTTGATTCACTGTAATTAAAATATTTAACACTCCATTAGACCTATCTATTTGAAAAAATATTAAGCTTTTTCATTATAATTATGGACCAAATAGTATTTCAATTGTTAAAGTTTAATATATTTGACTAATAAAGTTGCATTAACTACCTTACTTTTGTCCAATCCTGAAAAATCCCTGAAAGCAAGGTAAGCATACTGTTTATCTTTGAAGTTTCATTGTTTTTGTTTTTGAAGCATATTGTTTTCTCTACAAGCGTACTTGATGAAATGGATTTTCTTGCTTAGCTAGCAATTTGGACTTATATCTTCAAGATTTTTGCAAGATAACTTTGCTACTCAAAGCTTTGAGCGTGGTATTGCTGCCTAACAGGTTGTATAGCATTAACACAAAGTCATTTACTTAGAATTTTTATTCATTTATATAATAGCTCAAGTTTCGATTATGTCAACTCATCTTTAGATTGGGAATGCTTAAGCAAAAGGTTTTTTTTTTTTGACTGAATTCTTCAATAAACCAATTTGGTTGTCTTATATTGGTAGCTTTATATTTCACTTTGATGAATTGTTGTCTATGAGCCTCTTATTAAGGGTTGTGCAACTATGCTATTACCTGTTTGGTCAAAATACTACTTTTCATAGGTTCAAAATTAAGGAATGATTTTCAATTTGAACTCATAAATTTTTTAAAGACATGATATAGAGTTTGTAATTAAAGTTGTCTTATTAGTAGTGGTAGTTTGTATTTAGCATGCATCTTGGATCTAGAAATCAAGAACATTTAATCATAATAAGTGCTTATATTATTAAAAAAGCAAAATTTGTTGCATTTGGTTATTTCATATTTTGTCGTCTATGATTCTTTCTAGAATTAGATACTACTAACTTAAATGCATTGCTTTGTTGTGCTAAGCACTACCAAATTATGGCATGCATGAAGTAGGGGAATGCACAAAAGACAGTTGGCTGCTGTTAGTTGTTAACTCAACTTGAGAATTGATCTGTTTAACCTTTTCTTCTATTATCAACGAGGCCATCCAATTGGAAGTAGTGAAAAAAATTTCCCATTTCATTCATTTGTCCAAGTCATTGGTAAAGTAGTTATAGGAGTTTAGCTTTCAAACGGTTGGTATTAGATTTGTTCTTTGGTGTGATTGAAGAGGTTTCACATTTGAGACTTGGAAAGAAACATTTTCTATTCATATTTTATATTGTAATATTTCTCTTATATATCTATTAGATAAACAAATTTATTTATAGCATTTTTTTCATGCTTAAAAATATATCCAATATGTTATTAATATACATGTTTAAACTTTATATTAATAGCTTTTTCAAAGAGAAATGATCAATTTACACAATGTAAAATAAAAAAAAAAAACTTTTCACATTTTTTTAATCATTGATTCTAATATATCTAAAAGATGGTAGAGACAAATAAAAATAGAAAATAATATTTAATCTTATTATTTAGATCTATTAAAATTAATGATTAAAAAATATGAAAAATTAAAAAACTTGTATATTATGTAAGTCAACTTTTTAGTTAAATAGTTTGCAATTTAAATTTAATTGTAGTCCTGGCACTACATTGTAGTCCCAATGCATAGCGCAGGCTACACACTAGTACATATAAAGAGATTGGAGCTAAGTTAATGTCAACTTCATCACTTTTTCCATGCTTTTTTCTTTTTTATTTTTTTATTTCGGTTTTTTGTACTTTTTAGTTTTTGATTTTTTTATTTGATCTTTTTATTTTTTACTTTATATATTATTAAATCTGGATTTTCATTTTAGCTTTTTTTTTCATTTTTATTTTTTTTTGTTTTTTGACTTTATTTTTTCATTAAATAAATTTTATTAAGAAAAAAGTTAATGAAAGTAAAAGTGCTAAAACAATTGGTATCCGACTAGTTTCAATTCACTTCGATTCAACATAAATATGTTTTTTAAAAAATTTCAAGATCGAATCAAGATTTTTTTTTAAAAAATGGGTTAGATCAAAAACAAATTTAAGATGTTTCATTTTGTCTTGGTGTTTACAATGCACATTTTCCTTTTCATTTTTTCATTTCTTTTAATTTTTTTTATTTGGTTTTTTTTCATTTGTTGGTTTTTTATTCTTTTAATTAAATTAATTTTGTAAAAAAAATAATTGAAGTGATAATGACAAAACAACCCATATTTGATAGTATTGACTAGTTCCAATCCAATAAGCGCATCCATATAATTAAAGTTGTAGATTTTAGAAAAATGAAAGGTTCAACATCACATTATATTCTTTTTTTTATTTTTTTTTTAGTTTTTTTTCTTTTTTAAAGTTTGTTTTATTTTTCGTTATTTTATTTTTTTGACATTTTTTATTAGATAAATTTTGTAAAAAAAATCAATAAAATAAATAACAAAATAATATATATCTAATAGATTTCAATTCACTCTAAACTAATAGGTGTGTTTTTTAAAAATTTAGGATAAGATCAAAATTTTTAAAAAATTGAAGCCTAGTCAGAAGATGGATTAGAATGTTTCAACCCTCATAATATATATATATATATTTTTTTTTTATTTAATTTTTTAAATTCATATATTTTTAAAACTTCCTTTTTTTTATTCTTTTTAAGTTTTAAACTTTTTTCTATTTGGTTTTCTTTTTTTCTATTTTTTATTTCTAACCTTTTTTGTTAGATAATTTTTTGTAAATAAAAAAGTCAATGGAAATATAGATGAAACAATAACTCATATTCGATGATTTTAATTTGTTTGGATAAAATAGGTTTTTTTTATTATATTTGGGACTGCATCGAGTTTTTTTTTTCTTTAATTGGGATTGAATTGAAGGCAAGTTTAAGGTGTCTCATCTCACACAGAATATATATAAAAATATATATTTAATTATTTATTTAATTTTATATCTATATATGTATTATTCATACAATAAAAGTCAATAAAAATAATAATGATAAAAAATTCGTATTTAATGAATTTTGATTTGTTTAGGTGTGTATTTTAAAGATTTGAAATTGGTTAACGTTTTCCTTTAAAATAAAAATTGAATTGAAAATGAATTTAAAGTGTTACACCTCACCTCGGATATATATAAAAATATATATTATTATTTGTTTAATTTTATATTTATATATATTATATTAATTTATACACCAAATATATTAGACTTTGAAACTCACAGAGGCATCTACTTGGCACCCTTTTAATTTTTTTTCCCCTTTTATCTTTTAATCTTTCACACAACAAAGTATTTGATTTGAAAAAAAAAGAAATAATAGAGAATAGGTTAGAGAAATCTTGCCCTTTTTCTTTCTTTTTACTTTCGTTCTTTAACTTTCTATCTTTTCATTCTTTTTACCCACTTTATCTCTCTTTATACTTTTCTTTATCTTTTCAATTTTTTTTTTTACTTTTGATTATTTTTTCTTTAGATTTGAACAAAAAAAAAAGGAAATGCTTCGAAGAAGACAGAGATGGTGATGCATTGGAAAGGATAACAGAGTGTGAGCTCTGAAGGTGGCGTAGAGGGGAATGAAAGAAAGCAGCTGAAGTTACATCTCAAGTATTGGCATGAGTAAAGATGTGAGAAGAATCAAAGATTTTGTTGCCTGAAAGATTGAAGAAACAAATTCATTATTTCTCCCTCGTAATAATTCATAATTAGCTTGGTTAGCATAGTTAGTATGGTTTTGTATTTTCACTTTAACAAAATGAAAGTTACAGAGATCGAAGAGTTTTAGGGTGTTCATGTCACTCAACTACTTTTCTTTTTTTTTCTTCCTTTTCTTTTTAATTTTTTCTTTTTTTATTTTATTACCCAACTGCATTTTTTTAATTTCTTTCTTTACCATTTCCTTTAATTTTTTTTTAAT